TTGCTGACATAATCATAGCGTATCGAATGCCCTATTTCGTCCAAAGATAGGATATATCGCAAGAGCGCTTGCTCCTGTACCTCTGACAGCTTATAGTTTGTTGGTTTCCGACTCGTACGAGGTCCTACCCCCTTTAATCGACGTTCAACGCGATGTCTGCTCACTTGATGCTCTCGCGCGATTTGTGCAACAACAGGGAGCTCTCCTGCCTCACGTTCTGCAAGAATCTCTTGTACAGCCTTTTCTACACGCTCATCTATATCCTCGTTCGAATCGGCCATGCTGTGGTGGAGCTATACGCAGAAGAATACACCCTATTTAGAAGAAAATCAAGATGCGCGTTACGCTGATTTGCGCGTTACGGTGAGAGCCACGCGCTGCGCGCGGGCTTGTAGGGGGGTACCCCCCTGCAAGTGGGGCCCTCTAAGGGCTCCACCCATTGGGCCACGGCTAGTACTACGTATACTCCGTAATAGGAGGCAGAAGTATCCCTAGTACGGTGTTAATAACGGCTAGTAACAATAGCGCCGTGCTAGAAATACTTTAGCCCAATACTGTAGTAGTTAAGTGAATGCGTGGGTGGGGTGATGGGGATCTACAACTTCCGTACCTGAAAGCTCAGCAATCTTTCCCGGGCCCTGGCAGGGGTATATCTACTTTTTCAGTAATCGATAATTGATCTGTCTTTGTCGCCTGTCGCCTGTCGCCTCAACAATCGGCCCTTCAACGTTGTTAATTGCGAATTACCATGGGGCTCCTTGGGGTATTGTTGACTTCTGTCGAGCGTCTACGTGAGGTACTGCCGCTCTGGCAGCTCATATCTTTTGCATTGGCCGCATTCGTCACCCTTGTCATCCTGGCCAACATTCTCAAACAATTGTTATTCAAGAACCCGAATGAGCCACCTCTTGTTTTTCATCTAGTACCCTTCGTTGGGAGTACTATCAGCTATGGCATCGATCCCTTCCAATTTTTCTTCTCCTGCCGCGAAAAGGTGCAGTCTCTCGCCCCAACGAGGGAAAAGTAACTGACCAGTTTCTAGTATGGCGACGTCTTTACATTCGTTCTTCTCGGCACCAAAACCACAGTCTGTCTTGGAACCAAAGGTAACGAGTTCATTTTAAACGGAAAACTTAAAGACGTCAATGCGGAGGAGGTATATACGCAGTTAACCACTCCTGTCTTCGGCAAGGATGTTGTCTATGATTGCCCCAACTCAAAATTGATGGAACAGAAGAAAGTCGGGTTATCCACGAAGATCCAATTCTGTCCTCTTACTAAACCTTGTTTAGTTCGTCAAGTTTGGTCTTACCTCCGATGCCCTCAAATCATATGTCACCCTCATCTCCAACGAGGTACAAAAATTCGTGGCAACAGCACCGGTCTTCAGCGGCCAAAGAGGGACCTTCGATGTCTGTCATACTATGGCAGAGATTACTATCTACACGGCGTCGCGTTCGCTTCAAGGTAAAGAGGTCCGAGAGCGTTTCGACTCCAGCTTTGCCGAACTCTATCACGACCTCGACATGGGCTTTGCGCCTATCAACTTTCTACTGCCTTGGGCACCGCTTCCCCACAATCGCAAAAGAGACAGGGCGCAGAAGAAGATGGCAGAGACCTACATGGAAATCATTCAACAGAGAAGAAAAGCTGGCATTGAGAAAACAGAAGATGACATGATCTGGAATCTCATGTCTTGTGCTTATAAGGACGGAACTCCAGTCCCGGACCTGGAAGTGGCACATATGATGATTGCTCTCCTAATGGCTGGCCAACATTCCTCCTCGTCCTCATCCGCGTGGATCATGCTCCGTCTCGCTTCCCGTCCAGAAATCCAAGCTGAGCTCCTCGCGGAGCAGAAACGGATCTTAGGCGAAGACCTCCCACCCCTCACCTATGAGAATCTACAAGAACTGCCTCTGAACTCACAGGTCGTTAAAGAAACATTACGACTCCACGCACCAATCCACAGCATCATGCGCAAAGTCAAATCACCCATGCCCATCACGGTAGCCTCACCGGTTAGCAGATCTTACACCATCCCCACCACCCACACCCTCCTCTCCGCACCGGGCGTCACATCCCGTTATCCAGACTACTTTCCGGAACCCATGCTCTGGGAACCTCACCGCTGGGACGAAGACCACCCTCTTGCCTACAAAGACGCCGACGATCAGGAAGAGCAAATGACCGATTATGGTTATGGCATGGTGAGTAAAGGCGCCACTAGCCCTTACTTGCCTTTTGGTGCGGGTAGACATCGATGCATTGGCGAGCAGTTTGCTTATGTGCAACTGGGCACTATCCTTGCGACGATGGTGAGGTTGTTGAGGGTGGAGAATCTGCCTGGGAAGAAGGGCGTTGTGGATACGGACTACAGCAGTCTGTTTTCGAGACCGATCGGGCCAGCGATAGTACAATGGGAGAGGGTGGGGGAAAGCGGAGGGGAGAAGTGCTGACCGGGTCATTAAAGAAAGAGTGGACCGAGAGATTGGCTTTGAGGAGGCTGTACATATTGGAGCGTTCCACACATTACTATCACCTAGAGAGACTGGTCTATTCCCGCCCACCAATAGAAGGGAGATAGAAGACAGATATGTACTTCTCGATCAGACAGAATAGAAATCAATCGAGGACGGTGATGTCAAAAATACAGTGAACGACAAAAGAGGAGATAACGCCATCTGATGAGAAATTCAAGGAAAATCCACGTTGGTGCCTATTGGGAAGCGGTCAAGAACACAGCATGAAAAGGCGGGATAGTAGACGGGTGAAAGAAAGGAAGGAAGAAAGGAATTCATTCACGTTCTTAACCTGTTAGGTACTTGAGGGACTCATGGAAGAAGGCTGGAGGCTACACGACGAGGTCGTCGACCTGAGATAAGTTAAAGAGGATATTTCTGTTCTTCCCCACCAATGTATAGTGTGGGTGACTTGTCTAGAAGGATGCTATAAACATCATTAGAATGGATCCCTTGATGCCTGGACGAGAAGGACTATTACAAGATAATAATGCCCGTCTCCATAAGACAGCTAGTCATCCGCTCTGATAAGTCTAATATCTATCCAACATCAAAATCTCCAATCACCCGTCCCCAACCTTCCTCACTACTTATTGAGCTTCTCAACCAATTCTCCTGGGTATCCTGCACCGAATCTTGACATCACAAGTTCAATGTGACAAAGCCATGCAGGAGAGATTAGGTCGCTATGATCACATGGACAGGGTAAATCATCCATTCAAAAAGCAAGCCTCTGGATCATCATGCCTGATCCAAAGACTGAGCAACGCACATCTCATAATACCTCCCTCTCAATCTCTGCAGCTCGGCATGCGTGCCCTGCTCCGCGATCCTCCCGTTGGCGAACACGAAGATGACGTCGGCATTCTTGATCGTCGATAAGCGATGTGCCACTGCAATCGTGGTCCTGGTCGAGGCCGCCTCGTCGAGCGCGGACTGCACGACGCGCTCCGACTGCGTGTCGAGGGCTGACGTCGCTTCATCCAACAGGAGCAGGCGCGGGTTCCGGATCATGGCCCTTGCAATCGCGATGCGCTGGCGCTGACCGCCAGAGAACTGGATACCCCCGGTCCCGCATGGCGTGTTGAAGGACTCGGGCAGCGACTGCACGAATTCCAGTGCGTTTGCCTGACGACATGCTTCGCGGAGCTGGTCGTCTGGTGGGTCTGTGTTGAGGCCTAGGCAGATGTTCTCACGGACTGAGCCTTGGTATAGCGTTGGCTCCTGCTGGACCAGAGACATGTAGCTCCGGTAGCGGCGGGGTGACATCTCCGCAATGTCTTTGTCGTCGAGGCGTATGCGGCCTGAAGTGGGATCATAGAAGCGTTCGAGCAAGGAGATGAGCGTTGATTTGCCGCAACCGCTGCTTCCCACGACTCCGGCGGACTGGCCTGGTTCGATCTGCGTGGGTCAGTAATGGTTTCGCCTCGTGTCATGGGGCAGCTCACTGTCATCGTAACTCCTCGTAGAACGCGAGCTGCTTCCCGCTGCTTGTAGCTGAAATCGACCTCCTGTACCTGAATCGCAGAATCGCCTTCAGGTCCTTTCTTGCGGTTCTGATCGTTTTCCTGCATGATGGGCTTGAGAGTGCGCAGCCAGAGTATATAATTAGCGGCTCCGACGGCTCTTGTGAGACTGGTGCTGTAGCCAAAGAATTGTGCAGCTGCTTGGCCAGCGAACAGGACACCAATGAAGATGACGTAGAACTGCTCCGTGGTGTACTCTCCGGAGGCCAGAAGTTGCCCGCCGTACCAGAATCCTAGAGCCTGCACGAGAAAGTCCAACGACTGAGACAACGCGAACCAGAACATTGTCCATAGGAGAGACTTGATCGACCGCCGAACAATGCTATCAAGCATGTCTGAGTATTGGTCCAGGATTGGCTTCTCTATGGTCAGTGATGCGACCGTTCGAATTGCTGTTACCGCCTCGCTTGCCAGACTGGCACTGTCTGCAAATCTTTCGCTGTTAAGACCTTCTATCCTCGTCTCAAGCCGTATTCTGAGGTAACCAGACATGACGATGGGAGGGAGGCCGCCAAAGACGATCACCAACCCGAGCTTCCACCCATATGCAATGGCCAGTGCACTGCTTGAGACAATGTTTACGAGGACAATCAGTATGAGAAGGATATTGGCGCTGATGAGCTCCTGTAATTGGGTAGGTAAGGCCGAGAGTTTGGATGTCAGCGCACCTGAAGTGTTCTCAGGTTGATTGAAGAAGTCCATGTCCTTTTGTCTTGTCAGCCAACCGTATAAATACGAATGGTTTGGTAATATAATAGCTTACCTGACTTAAGACATGATCGAACATCTCCCGTCGGTATCTGTGCGTCACTGTCTGCCCAATGTAGTTGCAATTCCAGCCAATGAGAAAATAGGCAAGCAAGTTGCCGAGCGCAACTATGAAGAACAGAAGCGAGTAGAAGTTGGCTTGGTCTCTGGCCTCTTGGCCATCTAGTAGGAAGATGTTCAGGACCCTGGAGAAGAGGATCGCCTGAGCAGGGAACGTCGCGCCACCGATCAGGCAAGCGATCGTCGATGAGATGAAGCAGAAGTAAAGCTTCTTCTGTTCCGTGAACATGATCCAAATGCATCTTAGGAGTGAGTAGTTCAGTGTGCCAGATACCAGATTTTGGGCTTCGACATCGGCTGTCTTCGACAACTCTAGCTCCGGCTGGAGGGAGATCTGACGTCCAACCTTCTCGGAAAAGTCTGCTGATTTCTGGCCGGTTGCTGATGCCTCTTCTTCATCTCCTAGGTCCTGTGCTGAGACTAGAGCTGCGTAATGCCCTTTCTTGTTTATCAGCTCCAAGTGGGTGCCTTGCTCGACCACTGTCCCCTCATGGATGACCGCGATACTGTCCGCGGCTTTGATGGTTGCCAGTTTGTGAGCAATGACGAGTGTTGTCCGATTGCGAGACACATTGCTCAACGCATCTTGGACGACCTTTTCTGCCTTGGGATCGAGAGCGCTTGTTGCTTCATCAAGTAGCAGGATTTTCGGGTCGGAGACTATGCTGCGAGCAATGGCTATGCGCTGCCTCTGACCGCCAGACAGCATGCCTGCTCGTTCGCCGACCTCAGTGTGGTAGCCCTGCCTAGAATTAGAGAAAGCTCGGCAAGTCAGACGTTGAAATACACATACATTTGGAAGCTCTTGAATGAAGCCATCCGCATTGCTTGAAATGCAAGCTTCACGTACAAGCTTCATTTGGTCTTCCGCCGAAAGCTGACGCTGATCTCCAACTAGACCTTTACATACGTTCTCAAAAACGGAGCCTCGAAACAGTACTGGCTCCTACAGTAGAATTAGAGGACAAGCCACACTCGGAAGCAGAAAGAAGAGCAAACCTGCTGTACCAGCTGTACACGGCTCCTGAGCCACTGAGTGTTGTATTCCGAAATGTCGATTCCGTCAAGCATGATCGACCCAGATGAGGGAGCATACCACCTCTCAAGTAGACCAACGACAGTACTTTTTCCGCATCCACTTGCACCAACTAAAGCAGTCGTTTTGCCCGCAGGAATGGAGATGTTGAAGTCGCGTAGCACGGGGGCGCTAGGGCGAGAAGGATATGCGAAAGCCAGGTTCGAAATTTCGATATTGCCATCGCAGCTGTCGGTAGGCATCTTTCCCGACTCGTCCAGCGGATCGAGTTCGGATTTCTTGTCGATGACGCTAAAGAGTTCGGACGCGGCGGCTGCTGCATTGGTGAACGCTGTGATCTGGGGTGCAATAGTGGAGACCGAGCTCGCTGCTATGAGCGCGGCGAAGACAACACTATAACGGTCTGTTAGCATTGGTTTCTTGTACGAAATTCCTCGTACGATAGCCTGTGCTCACGTGAAGACTTGGCCGGCATCCGCAACTTCGCCGCTCTGGAACATCCTGAAACCCTGCCAGAAGCAAAGAGCAATACCGCAGTAGACGCAGAAGTATTGGACAGAAAACAGGACTCCATAGTTTGGCGATTTCTTGTTGCCTTCCGTGTGGGCCTGTTGGAGAAAGTCGTCATATTTCTTCACCATCTTTGCCTGTGCCCAGAAAGCATGAACAGTCCTGATGGATGAGATGGTTTCCTGTGCCAAGTTGGAGGCTTGCGAATAGATACGAACGATTCTCGCTTCTTGAGGTGCGTCGATGGCAATGCACGCTCCTGTGATAAGAAATATCACAGGGATAATGCTCAAAGTGATGAGAGAGAGCTTCCATTGTACGGCCAGAGCGACAATGAATGCCGAGAAGAACATTGAGAGAGCCTGGACCGAGAACGCCAGCTTTTCTGCAATGCCTTGGCTGACTCTGTTGCCATTGGTGGTCACCTGAGTGGCAATAGCACCTGTTGATCGCTTGTCAAAGTGCCATATCTCCTGGCGAAGAGTATGCTCCAAGAAGGCTCGTCGAAGAGATCGCGTGGTCCGGATGGCAGCTACAGAGATGGCGAGCTATTCGAGTCAGAAAATATCACTATTGCTGCATGGGGCTAATATTACCGAAGACATGTAAATGAGGCAGAATTTGGCGATGAAGAGATAGATAAACCACAAGCTTGAGCAGTCAATATACGGTCCACATGGGGGACACAAATTGGATACTTACACATAGTGCGATACATCACTGCGAAAGGCGTCTGAGCTGCCATAACCGCTCTGAAATGCATTAAATTTGGCCACGAATTGTCCAAAAAATATGGTCATCAGAGGCAGGGTAGCACCCGCGCCTATGCTGGCCACGAGAGCGACAGCGTTCAAGCACCAATCCCACTTGTCAGCGTAGCTAAATATCCTCTGTGTTCGTTCAGTCAGCTGTGTTATTGAAGACCACATGATAGTGCTTCTCGTACCAGATAGTCTTTGAAACTTCCTTCCGGTTGCTTCTCCTCCTGTGGTAGGACATCTTCTGCCTCGCTCGACGCCAGACTCTTCTCATGTTTCGTCTCTGGTAGAGACATACTGTCGGCAAGATCTGATCTGGATCGAGAAATTTACCTGACCTCACTCATTCTCGACATTGAGGTCGCGTACAAGCAGATATATAGACAAATGTTACCTGTCTGCATGCCGTAGACAATGATGGGACGGCAGAAGTAGTGGGAGCAATGAGGGCCATCTCGTAGTCCTCGCGTCCCGTGATGGCCCCTGCTTCCAGGCATCCATAGCTGGTTGGAGGTTGATGCAAGGCATGTTGGGTGATTGACTCTCTTCAGGCCGTCATAGATCCGGGCGCCGCGGGATCCGGGAACGCCGCGGGACCCGATCAGGGACCGAAGGACCGGACCGGGCCCATGTAGCTCTGGCATTCATCACCTCATTCGCCATCAATCTTGAGGCATAATTGACGGCTAAAAAGAAACGCAAACTATTCTTACGACTTTCGCTGTTAACAACGCTCTGGTGCAACTGACTTGGTCATCTGAAGGAGCATGGAGGTTGAACGTTCGGAACCCGAGGGAGCCGACTCGGTGGCCCGGGTGGTAGTGAAAGCTGTACATACTACATATCTAAGATGTGCATCGCATCGACGTGCTGACCGTACGATGTAGTGCGACCCCTGTCGTGTCAGGAAGGTGTGACAGCAATCGAGAGCTGACTGACAGTATGCTGATCTGATACCATATCAAATGCGATCGCAAAGCGCCCTGCTCATCCTGCCTTTCCTCGCACGTGCAGTGCAAGACCTCGGCAAGACAGCCTGAGAAGAAGAAGCGAATCCTAATTTCCGCTAGCTAGTCAGTTTCTCCTCGGGCTTATACGCTGATGAGCTATCTATTCCTGTGCTAAAACTTGATGAAGCGAGAAGGAGGTTAAAGGCGTCAATGAACGCCTTGCCAATCTCGAGAAGACCATCCACGCCCTTGTTGCGACTCCAAGGTCCCCAGCCGATATAGATGATCGATTTCAACGTACCAATATCGTCAGATCGCCTAGAGCCTTGGAAGATGGCCAAAACGTCCCGTTCGAGGGTGCTTCGTCCTTCGCAGCACACTCGAAGCAAGTCTCGCAAGCTTTCAGATCCGCCGCCACTTCTGCGGGCCTTCCAAGCGAATCACTCTCGACTTCAGGCCTGGGGAGAGACCATTTCAACGATGAGAAAAAGGGACCTGTCGAAGATCTTTACGAGCTCCCACCAATGTCACTAGTACTGAAGACTCTAAGAGCTGCCAAAAGTAAGGTAATTGAACCCAAAGTCTTCTTTTCGCTAATACCGCGCTCCCTTTTTCCAGCGAACCCGAAGAGGTACTTTCCTGGTCTGTCGGATTTGAACGTCACAAGCATGAGCGACATGTGCCAGAAAGTTTACTTCCCTACCGAGGACTGCTCGACTGCATTTGTAACTGTGGTGATCTGTGGCCTATGGAAAATGTTCCATAACTTCGGAGAGCGCGATCTGCATCAACACGGACTCGACGAGCTAGAGTTCGAGCGTGCGAGAGCGCTTTGCAAGAGGAGCTTGGACGATGCGGCTCGCTGTACTCCACTGCTCATCGAGCACTCGTATAGGCAGATCCAGGCTCTGCTTCTTCTGGTAAGTCGAGCGTCCGTTAGACTGATAAAGCGCGGACTAACAAGTAACAGTCTGTATTCCTGCTTGAAACCTCGCGGCCGTCCTTAGCCCTGTCCACCATATCCGCTTGCGCTCGTGCCTGCCAAGACGGAGGCTATCATTGTTTGAAGATCGACAGCCCTGATCCCCAGGCCCAGCAGAAGATCATAACCTTCTGGTTCGTGTTCTCAATAGACCGAGGGCTATCTCTGAACTTCGGACGGAGCCCATCTCTGCAGGATTACGACGTCACTGCCAGCCGACCCACTCTTGTAGAGGCGCAGGGAGATCGCGATCTATTCTTCTGTTTCGTCAGCGTTGAGCTGGGGTACTTGCAGGGGGACGTATATGAACAGCTTTATTCAGGCCGTGCCCAGTCCGAGAGCGCCAATGTCAAAGCCCAGCGTGCCCGCGTCCTCGCAGACCGGATGATACGCTTGCGTCATCAGCTACTCTCGGTCAGTCTCTCCGAGAAAGATGCGAATTGAGCTGTTTGCTGACACTTCCCAGTTCGAAACCAGTGACGACATATCGGCCATGCATATGATCGAGGATTACGGCCTGGTACTGCAGTCGCATCTGGCGTTGATATACCGGGCAATCCCCTCTACCCGAGGCGACAGCCCTCTCCACTTCAGCGATGAGTGCGTGACCGCTTCCCGTGCAGCCATGGAAGGCTACAATGCAGCCTGGGAAAAGTACCGAACCAGAGAAGGCACGGCTTGGAAGACTGGAATCAACTGGTGAGCCGCGTAGAACAGCCACCCTTATCTGTTCCCACTGATGCATGAGCAGGACTTATCTCTTCTCGCCCTTCACGCCCTTCATCGTCCTCTTCGGCGAGGTCGTCACCTTCAAGAACGAAGCAGACCTGAAGCTAATGGAGGTCTCCCTCGAGACGCTGAAATCAGCTGCGCAACACTCCTCCGGCCTTACCAAGCTGCACGACGCCTGCGAGATGTTCTTCAACCTGGCGAAAGCGTACATGGCGAAGACGATCAATAATGGAGAGTCTTACAACGGCCCTCTGCACCAGCTGCCCTCGATGGGGGCCTTCGATCAGACAAACCTTCACGGGCTAGACTGGGACGCGATGCTCGACGATTGGGACCTTGGTCTGGGTGGCGAAAACGCGCGGGAGATGTCATCCTTTTTGACAGGGAGCTTCTTCTCATAGCCTGTCATGCCCTAAACCGCCTACTCTTACTAGGGGCCTTTCATCCCTCGCGGCACTACCATCACTGTAAACGCCCAGGCCGCATTCAGCGTACGAAGGCATTACTTTGAAATGAATGGTCATGTTGCCAGACTTACCCTAGCACCTTGATATCACATGACTGCACCGCATGTACACGGCATAGGAGAATCGTCACCTGTTGATATGTATCGGATCTTTAATTTTTCTATTTCGACAAAAGCCACACCCAAAGTGCCCTCCGGTCGTCGACGACAGATGCTGCCCTAATCACGAAACCTGTTCAGGTAGATTGTAAGCATACACCTCAGTTCAGCCAGTTCAGCCCTTTCCGCCGCATAATGCCTTTAATATATAATCGTAAAGGTCGCGTTATACTGTAACCCCGCATCTAGTAGTAAATATATTGCACTCTGTGCCTATCTGTCTCCTTCGTCACATTGTGCAGATGCTGCGTGACATCCAACACAGTGTTACTGTAACTTCCCCGTTGTCATTTACATCAATGATTTAGAACTCAAGGTGTTGGCTCAGAGAATTGCTTTATCATTGCGCCTGGAGAGCCCAGAGTCCCGCAGTAAGGCTGGGGAATCATAATCAGCTTTATGGCTGTCATAGCACGCAAATTCATGCAAGGTTGCCACACGGGTTAGTCAAAGTAATTGACGGTTTTGGTTAGTGCAAAACGACCCAAGACCTTCCACCAGATCTACCCTTTCAAGTTTGTTAACACCCTTAAGGTCTTCATCAAAGCTCTGCCACCAGATGGCAGCTCCCATCTGCATAATCTATAATGGCTCTAATGCCAAATCCTGCTCCTCATGCCGTGCGATTTCATACTGCTCTCCAGAGTGTCAGAAACTCGACTGGCCCCTCCACAAGGTAATCTGCAAGCCCTTCACAAACATGCCCTCACGACTATCACCTTCGCACAAACTTGCAATCCTCCTTCCAGTCGACTCAAAAGATCCACAACTCATCTGGATTAAGTGCGAACGACATGTCGATAAGGAAGACGGAATTACATGGGAGAGGGCAGATACTCAACACCTTCTAGCAATCGAGAACCTTGACCCTAAATACCGACATGCCAGAGAGTTCAAAACTATCAAGCGGAATATGCTTCGCGGATTCAGTCTCAGCTATACTGTTCAGGTGATTTGCCAGGAAACTTTTCTGATTAATAGCTCCTCGTCTAATATTTGTGTTCAACATATCACGAAAGGGAAAATAACACACGATTAGAGGGGACCAATAGTGGTCATGCGTCAGCCGGGCACGGCCGTTAACCCTTTGTTCTACAAGGATATCAGAGCTGGTGATCTTCGAGTTGCGATTGATTATTTTCTCTCTTATGGAAGGGATCTATAATCCAGCTTGAAGGTACTTCCTTAGAGCTGTAAGGTTTGGGCTGTGTGCGGATAGGGCTAAGGCGAGTAGGAGCTACTTGATGTAGTTGTCATTCGGTAGAAAAACAGCGCAAAGTTTAAGTAAGTGACCCCCAAAACAGTCTCTTGGCTTGGAGTGAGAGCTACTTCCGCGGCTTCACCTGATATCTCAAGCATATTGACGCCTGCAGTTGCACTCTCCCATAGCCCCCAAAATTTTCTTTAATGGCTACGGAGAACCCCTTTTGATTCTCTACATGCTAGTTTTCGCAAGCATACATCCATCACCCATATTACTATTTTAGTGCTAATACTTCCAGATTCTGTAAGTCTTCTGAACACTCTAATGCTATTATCTACTCCAGAGATCAGAAGTTTAAAGGTTAAAGGAGTACACCTCACCAAAACCCTACAGCAGGCAGATTCGTGTTTAGCCCCCCGTTGAATCACGGACACGGATCAAATGCGTTGTACTTCTATGGAGCAAAACAGTAAGCCAGCCACATCCTGGAAGACGGTTTCCGGTTCTACTGTAGATCAGAAGGCTGAACCATTCTACCTTACTCCCGGCCGCAGAACTGGGCAAGTTATCTTCTCGGGCTCTCTGATTGAGCATATCTGGATGCTGAAAGAAAAAGCAACCCATTCTGTGGAAAGTATCGGCTTCTGCTTTCTCCTAGCCCATCATTATTAGACGGCCTGGAAGTAAACCCACAATATATCGCTAACTACCCAACTGGCTGACCGAATCTTCTCTTGATGTTCCCTTATACTTGGTTACTCAGACCCTTAAAAGCATCAATCCGCCTCCCTCCCGGCCCAGTGTCGCTGGCTCCCAGCTTGATACCTTCTGGGCCTGGGGGGAAACGCTTGAGTGTCTGGCCAAGAGAGACCGGAATGCGCCCTCAAAGGCGGCTGCATACTACTACTACTACTACTGGTACAGTGCTAGATCAGCACCACAAAGAAGATGAGTCAAGCGGATTGAGTACCGTAGTATTAGTATCGCCATCTCCCCTATTCTACCTTATCCCATTCCGGGAATCCAGATGTCCTTGATCTAGCTCTCACCCTCTCTCTCGCTCTCTCTTATCTAATCTCATCTCCTGGCTCTCTGGAGACTAACATCTAATCTAAGGAGGGTCTTCATCTGGAGGAGTGGTGGTCTGTCTGAGTCACTTATGTCACAGCCTGACTATAGTTACATAAATGAGAGAGAGAAAAGAGAAAGAGAGCGGAAGAAGGACGGTCAGACCTATGATGACATTAACATGAAGGTCAATACGGAGTGGTTAGCCGCTGAAACCTCAAGGTCGAAGGCAAGGAAGAAAGGAAGAAAGGAAGGGTGAGGATTGACACCAGAATCACTATTGCTATCGCTATTGCTATTTCTATTGCTATTAGATCGAACTAACCATGATGCATGCTCGCACGAAGGAGAAGTACTTACCACCCTCCTCTTCCTCTTCTTCCCCTTCCGCCTCTTGACCAGAAAGAGTACGAAACTATACCCTTCGCAGCCGAGCCCGTTACAGCTCTCTCGCTTGCCGTTTGACAGCGCGAACGGAAGCATCAGCGTTGCCCATAAAGGGATTCGCTCTCCTCTTTAGCAGTCGTCGACCATCATCCTCATCCTCAACCTTGACCCGAGGTGAAGTCTGAGTTGGCGTCTGGGGAATCTCCAGTGATCTTGAGCCGGTGCCCGATCCTGACTGATCCCGGGTCTCCTTGTGGTACCTGCCTGCTTTTCCCACTTTTTCTTCATTCTTTCCCCACTTACACTTGCCCTTGCCCTTAGCATTCCTCCCCGCCTCCTCATCCTCATCCATGTTCTCTTCTTCCTCTTCCTCTCCCTGCTCCTCTCCTCCATCATCAGGAGGCTGCCACACCCCACCAACCCCATTCTCCTGATCATCCCTCCTCAACCGATCTATCATCTGTTGTTTCAGACGCAGACCCCGCAGTGGGATGCCGCGACGCAGAAGTTCTGCTCGCAACGCAACGACGGCGCTGGTCTCCCAGTGGAGGTACCATGGCTCCTCCCCTGCGCTATCTGGGATGGAAGGAGATGAAGAGGGTTGGGCTTGGGTAGTGTTTGTGGGTGGTGTTGGTGATTTAGAGTTGGATTTAGAGGAGAGGTTGGAAGCGGACTTGGAGTTATCCGCTGCCGCTGACTCCTCTTGAATTTCTGCTTGCGTCGCTGTAGTTGGAGGTGCTACCTGAACTGTCTGATTGAGACTTCTTACTTCCCCTGCCTGACCGTGGAGTACTGTCCCCACTGCCGGATTGGGCCTTTTCGCTGCCGCTTTGAGCCTGGGAGTCGTTGCTGCTGTTGTATGAATTGCTACTACGAGCCCCCTTTCCGCCTTTGTCGGCACTTTCACCTCCGCTGCTGTGATGTGAGCTGCTACCTTCACGACTGTTCTTGCTTTTGGTTGAGCTGCTGCCGGTGCTTTTCTGCGGTGAATGCGCCTGTGAGCTTGACTGCGAAAAATCCTTCTCAATGCTCTCAATCACATCCTTGTGCTCTGGTAACGGCTGGTCGATCAAGCCAAGCGTAGGCGGTGCATTCGATCTCTCCCTGACACTGGTGTTACCAGAGGGTGGGTCTTGATGAATCGCAAAACCGGGACCGGAGATGGTGACTTGTTGGTCTCCTGACGGACCTGAGCTCGATGATGAGGAGCTACTACGGGCAGCATCACCAGACGGAGGCGGTACACCCTGTCCCCTATCTGCACTGGTAGTCGCAACATTGATTCTCCATCCACGCGGGACAATGATGTTGATCTCACCATGATCATCTCCCCCACCTCCACTGATCAAGGCGAGGATCGCGGGATCGAAGTGTGGGCTCGGGATCAGCTGGCCCGGGTTGAGCGGATCTTGGACTAGTAGCGGCTCGCCCAGATCCCAGGGGCCAGTGCTTGGCCGGTTGTCAGGATTGATGGAGATGTTGAACTGTCGCTCTGGCAATCCAGTGACGGGATTGGGGCTGAACGACCAGCCACGATTGGAGGCCCCGGTTAGTGGAGATCGTGGGACAACTTCGCCGAGGGCTTCTGTGACTTCTCTTTCGATGCTGGCTCTCCATGGGATGATGTTTCCTTGTTCATCTCTCATGGGAGAAGGGGACACAGCAGAATAACTCGAGTCAATGCTGCGGCTGCCGGCCCTGCTCGGACTTGATCTATGGACAAGGACCCGTGCTTCTCCATCCTCAACTGGAGGCTCCGCCCAAGCAGCTCCCGGTCGATTGATGCCCTCTCGAGTCCCCTCCAAGGGGTCATTCCACCACCCTGGCCAGAAGCGGTCGGTTTGGGCTGGTGGCGTGCGAGGTGAGCGAGCCGCACTTGGCACACCACGTCGAACCAGCCTACGAGCTTCGGGTCCGAAAGTGACATTTCGTTCGAATACGTAGTCGTTGAAGTGCCCTACCTCGTGCCCTACACGCAACATCTCGAATAGGTTATCTAGGGCGTTCCCATTCTGCGTTGTTTGCAACTCCCGGAACAGCCTGTAGGCGCTGATCATGTCTGGGTTGTTGGACGCCAATTCCATGCGGACCCAGTGATTGAATGCTCTGATTTGGCCTTCTGGACCATCGTCTTCAGGTGGGCCAGGCGGGCTTGCGTGCAGACTTCCTCTGTTTGGTCCGCTGGGTTCTGCTTGAGCGCCAGCTGGTAGAGGAGCGGGTAATCTCCGCCCAGTTGACCTCCGGGACTTATCCCCTTGAACTGGCGTAGGCGTGCTGGCGGCCCGTATTGGGGATCCTTCGTAAAGTGTGTTGTCATATTGGTAGGGAGGACTTGGTGAATTCCAGTCCTCTGCATTGCCTCGAGCTTGTCGGTTCGTACGTGGTGGTGATTGATTCTCCTGACTCGAGTCTATTCCAGGACTTTCATTCTCCTGGTTAGGATTGTTACCTGCAGAGTTTGTGGAAGGTGTTTGGTTTTCCTGGTTTTCCTGGTTGGCAGACGACTTCGTGGAAGGTGTTCGATTTTCCCGGTTTGAGTGGTTGGCAGACGACTTTGTGGAAGGTGTTCGGTTTTCCTGGTTTGAATGTTTAGCGGACGAATTTGTAGAAGGCGGGTGGCTTTCCCGGCTTGTGAGAGTAGTCTTGCGGTTGCTTCCAACAGAGGCAGCCGAATTATTGGCTGGGCTTCGATCGCTCGATGGCAAATCTGGATCAGTGATCGTATCATCATCACTGGGAGAGTGTACATCTGCTCCAGCCTGAGATACCTCTACCCTGCGCACTTCTAAACTTTGACGATGATGGCCCAAGCTATTTGGAACATCTAGCTTAGAGAAGGACAGTACGCTATATTTCGAATGCCTTGGCTTGCCATTGCGAGGCGCCGATTTCTTTACGGCAAACTTGTCAGCCTGTCGCTTCAACACAGGTGGAGTTGCCTCGCCGGCTTCACGCTCACGGCGAGCACGTTGAGCGCGTGTTTCTGGAATTTCAGGAGTTGCTTTTGGTGTCGTACGTCTTGGAGAAGAGCCAAAGAATGGACTCCCTAGTCTATTACGGATTCTGCTCAGTGTCCTGCGGACAACGTGCGGCTCTGCATTTTGCACTATGATTGGATTAGCTTTGCCGATGGCATGTAAGAAGACTGCCACTGCTACTTGGGCTCTATAGCGCTCCAGATGATTCAGGTGCCACAAAACATACCTTGTTGACTAGTTCCATTCTCCTCTTCAATCGTGGGCAAGCGCAACGCCGGGTTAATATAATGCTCAACGTCCTCTGGGCGTGGTCCTTCTGTGAGAACGCCTGGATCTGCCAGTTCTCTCGCAATCTGAAGAGCGGCCGCTCGTTCGGGGGCTGCACTCTCAGGAAGAGGATATTGAGCATGGGGTACAGCGCTACGCTCCTCCATTCGGAGGGCTCTTAGCCTTCGACGATGGTAGTCTAGGCTATCCGCAGGAAGTGGATGAAGTCCAGACACGATCACTTCATCCTCTTCCCACTCCTCGTCTAAGCCAGCGCGATCGGTATTCCGTCTTCTCGCCAACTCAGCGAGATTCTCCAGTTTGGCCTTTGTCAGGGTCTCTGCAAAGACTGATGTGGTAACCGTCTTCGCTTTCTTCCGCTTCTCTATACGCTTTGTTCCGCCAGGGCTGACCACCTCTATTTCCTCGTCAGAGTCGCTGGATTCTCCGATCTCTTCGGAAGGGCGATTTCGCCTATCGTCACCATCCCCGTCATCACCACCACCACCAGCGCCAGAGCCTTGTGGTTGTGATGAAGCCGGTGTAGGACGGGAGTAAGAATCTCTGTCATTCTGGTAATTGAAACCTGCTGCTTGCGGCAATGCTGCTTGCTCCTTCACCCATGTTGAGGTTGGGCGATATGTCCTCATATTGCCATTTTCGAAGAGCTCCCACCGTTTGAGCGCCTTCGGGCCTTCCATGATGTGGTTCAGGCGCATGACCACGCGATGGGCGACCATTTGCGGACCATTGGCCGGCTTAAGCTCTGGCTTCAGAAGAGTCTCTTCAAGACCCACCAGACAAGTGAAAGGAACCCGCTTTGTATTGGACAATTTGGCAAACTGCTCATAGATGCGTGCCTGTCCTGCCCCTTTGCCTTGAACATAGCTGTCTATATGTGTACAGTACTTGCCAACCAGTTCCTCAATGTCCTTTTGATAGAGGGCATCGTTGTCTTCCTTAACTATGGATACTAACTGAGAATGGTTTTCTTGCACGAAAGGGATAGCTATATCACGGGCTTCAATTGTGGCTGGCAATTCTCCAGACTCTTGCCGGATAGCATTCAAACTGCGACCGGCGGTTAGATATGGAAGGATGTGCTTGATGTTCCGCCAGGTGAGAAGCCACAGGTATGCAACCTCATCCTCTGGATATCTCTTTGTCTGGAACTCTTTATATAGTGCATTGACAGCATTTCTGGCCGCCATGACCTTACTGTGGGGGAGCATGGCTGGCACTGCGGCTTCCCAAGCCTCAATATCGATGCTTTGCGGTGGTTCGTTCAGCAGAACTCTGAGGTCTTCTGCAATGTCCCAGAATCTGGGTTCTGTAAGGTACAAATGCGACTTTTTGACATTCTCCTTGAGCTTGGCATATTTTGTCTCAAGCTCCGTGGCAGCGTGGTCGCGGTACTGGCTCATGTAGTTCTTCGCAAGGGTGAGTAGGATCGACTGTTTACTTTTCGAGATCGTTCTGTGCTTGAGAAAAAGTACTACCGCCGATTGGTAGTGTGACAGATGGCGGATAAAATCGTTGGCAGGAATTGTCCTCGTTGAGTCAGCCGTCCAATATTTGAAATACGAAATGCAGCCCTCGATCCATTGAGACCAGATTGCGTCGGTGAACTCGTAATTCATCTCCAATAGCCCTGGAGCCAGGGGTCCTTCCGGGTGGAGCAATGGTCGACCATGCTGAAGGTCTTTTATGGACGAAACAATATCGTTGAATGAGGCGTGAGACTTATCGGCGGCGAGGTTTTTCTTTGCTGCTTGCACGAATGTCGACACACGTTCCCATTCTTCTTCAAGACAAAGAAAGAAAGCCATCTCCGTCGTTGCTTCCAAGAACCCACCGTTCATGTTCAACATGTTCTCAAGGCTTTCCACATTGCCGCACAAACGAAAGTCGTATGTAAGGATGGTCTTCAGGTCTATGCTGAGTAAGTGTCGCGTAGTATCTTTGAAGTATTCGAAGTATCGCTTGAGTAATTTGAGGTGGGCTGTTGCGATCGGGTCTTCTGCGATGGTTACCGCAGCAGCCTTCGCTTCTAAAAGGGTACGTCGGATCGCCCTGAAAAAATAGATATAGGCGGGACTTGAGTTGTTGAAAGCTGGGCGAGTCTTGAAGAATTCAATCTGGCTGGCGATTGCTAGGTTTAGGTTCAAGTCTTTCCATTCCTGAAGCCACCTTACGTCGGGATTACCTTCCCCATAGCTGGCGATATCTCTCATGTCCCCGTCGGAATCTTCCTCAACATCGATGTTGATCTGCTCCGTTATCGTTTCACCGAAAGCGGGCGAAACAGGTGATGATGAGTTGGGTGGAACAAGCTCAATGAAATCATCTTCACTGCTTCGGTAGCCGGTGCTCTCTGCATCTCCATTGGTAGTAAATGGCCCAGACGACCAGTTTCCTGCGCTTGGTAGCATACTGTCAAACTTTTGTTGCGGCAAGATTGCAGCCTTTGAGTACTGAATTAAGCATCCGGTGGTGCAAGGAGAACACTATCAACGAGCAGTGCTGTGAAAGAAAGCAAATGAATAGATTGACAAAGGCAAATCAGAGAGATGATCACATTGCATGATGTTGTAAGAACGATTCAAGCGATGCAGTTTGTCGCCGAAAGCGAGTCACAAAGCGATACTTGCATGAAAACGGAAATTGAACAACTTACCTAATGCGGAAATATGCCAAGCAAAGAGCGAAAGGAAATTCCATGACAACAATGCTGTTGTTGGGGACCCAGGCAGCGAAATTAGGACGAAGCAGCATATGCAGAGTCAAGTCAATGAAGGACCCACAACTCGATGCAGTTTCATGGACGCAAGATGACCAGCCAGAAGAAGAGGAGCATTCGTATCAGATGATATCCTGCTCTAAGCGAATACAAAAACATCCGATAACGTAATACAAACTGTCATTCGGATACAAGGCACCCGTCAAAAACTGTTGCCGATGTTGGTCGTATTTGCTTTGCCTCATGTATCCACAATCAGCGCGACAGTTGTAACCATGCGTGGATGCTTGCCAGCTTCTATGAACGAAGATAGTCTGTTAAGACCAGCGTCAAGTTCGTAGTTCTTAAGCAAAACTCATTATACTGTAGAGTTGTAGGGCTGGCTTTGGGGAAGACAAAATAGAGATTACAAACCTTGGCAAGGATTTACTGACCCGAGCCTTGGTACCGAGAAATGAACTCATTTTCGGAAATGGGTGGAGATAGACCAGATATCCAGACTATAAGACGGCCCGGAGCGCGTCAAAACTCTCAAGAAGCGCCATTGAACACCTGACATTCATTAGACGGGCTTGGTTTGATCCTTCTCGTAGAGTCGATTTTGACGATAATTGCATGTCGGCTATCCACCTCTCCGGCGTAAAATGGTCCAATTGATTATTGGCTGATAGCCGCGCGGGAGATATAAGCTTATAATCATAACCAAGAGAAAGCCCAGAATTTGACCTTAAGCCATTTAAGGCCACATTAGTGGCGTCAGGTGAGCCAATAATCAATTGGACCATTTTACGCCAGAGAAGTGGATAAGCCTGATAGCATCGATCACGATCCAAACTGTGTATCAAGAAGTGTAGGGATTTCAGTGAAAAGTCAGCTGCTTAGCTTGGAAGTGTGCACTCTCCAGCCACCATAGTTTACGGATAATTTCCTTCAGGCACAAAGGCAGAGTATGAAAGCGGAGGAAGTGTGAGGTTGGCTAGTATCCACTCGTCAGAAGAAAAAAATGGTCCAAGCTTCCACCGCAAGCGGCTAGTGGGGTTTCTAGATAACGCTAACCATTTTCAGCCAAAAGGAATTTACACCTACACATAACACATGCTCGAAAAACCAAATGCAATAACATCGCATAGAGTGGTGGCTTGCAAGTTCCCAAATAATGAAAGAGACATCAGGTAGCCCACATGCTTCTGTAGCCTGTTTGCCCAGGTTCACGCCTAAGTCAGAGGTATTTTGAAGTCTAAAGATACATTCATTTGACCAATGATGGTTTCGTTCTATTCTAGCTGCTCGAGTGATAGTGTAGCTTCAGCTGATCAAGCCTGTGACTCTGATCTTTTCAGCACCTCTCCCGATCTTCATATCAACTTGTGATTTTGCATGACCTCGTGAGCATCAGAGATGGTCATGCTAGCGTATTTATGTACACCGTTTCATGTCCTGGAATGTAGCTTCCAGAGGCACTATTAGCTAGCACTCTCGTGACGTGGCTGCATGTCCAAGTGGGATTTTGATGAAATTTTGCTGTGGCTGCTCAATTGCTAGGCCCACTTGCCCAGTAAAGCCATTAAGCCAGCTCCCAGGCACATCATCCCAAACGCAGCGAGCACAACTTGTAGTTTAGCTTTCCTCATCATATTGCTGAACATGAATTCATGAGCCATTAGTTCCACCAGACCAGTGTAGATCAGGATACCAGCACTGATTGAGTCGAAGACACCGTTGACGATAAGGTTTGCTGCTGATTCGGGTGGATAGGTATTGCGGACACCAAGACCAACAGCAATGGCGGTAGGCGTGGACAAGCCGTACGCAAGCCCCAGAATATATGCTGTCCATCTCTTCGATTTCGGCCAAGGCGTAACAGCCAGTCGAGAACCCAGACCCAAGCCTTCGAACGTCTGATGAAATACCAAGACCGCAAGGAGAGTGTTAAATTCTTCTCCAGCCACTGCCAGTGTTAGTCCGATAAAGACTGAGTGAAAGATGATGCCAAATTCGAGGATAAAGATCGCAGTCATTTGTGCAGCATAATCTTCGGTATTATGAGCGCTAATGTTCGCTTCATCGTTCTGGTGTTCACGTTGATGACCGAGATGGTCTTCACCAGGCACATGTGCACTGCGCGAGGTTCCTTTGCTGACAGCATTGGGCATCAATGTGATGGACTTGTTGTCTACCACAGTACCATCACGTTCCGTACGGTGATCATGTTCATTCTCGGCAATTTGACGATGGCTTCCATTGGCGGATTGGTCATCGCTGTGCTCGTAGTCGCCAAACCGTGCATATCGCATGACCATCAACTCCACAAAGAACAGAACGAACACTGTGATCATCGCAATGCCTTCAACCCAGGGATATCCCGTGATTGGGCCAGTCAGGCAGGGGTTACTTAGAGCCTCGTGTGCTGGAGCGAGAAGGTGAATGAAGGCTGTTGCGACAATGACACCAGAACCGAAATATTTGGCGACGAAGAAAGTCCATTCTGGTACTCTCAGGCCCTGATGACGCTTGGCATAGATTGGAAAGCATGCACCGGCGGATGAGCCCAGCCATATCACGAAGAGAGCTGCTACTCGCAGGCCCAGGCGCCCATCATACTCGTTGCCCGTATCACAAGATGGCGATGTTTCAGTAGCGGCTGATTCGCGGATGATGAGATGGGTGAGGTCTCCGGTAAAAGACATGATGTTGTCTGAGGTATTGTTTGAGGTGTCGTTGAGACAGCAGCTGTCCGCTCAGATAACCACAGCAATGGGTCAAGTTGGTGGATAGTGAGCACAGATAAAATCTGTAGGAGACTGTGGGTATCGTCAGTGCTTTTAAATGCAGTACAACTCGGCTGTGACTTACAGGCAGAAGCTTAGTCAAAGCAGTTTAGTGTGGACTCCGGTAGGGTCAGAAGGGTTGTAAAGGATTGGTATGTGTACCGTGAAGTGCCTGTTGGTTTCTGTGTAAAATAAAAGTATAAAGAGAGTGATCTACGCGTTGAGATATAGTTGATGTCGTGAAAGTGTTTCTCCTTTGATCTTCCACTGTGAGCAGTTTGTAAGACCCGTTTGCCGGGCAGGCGGGTTAAAATGTGATGATTTAGTGAAGGTTCGCGGGAACATGTGTACGCCAAGACAAGGAAATTCAATTACTAGCGAGTGGACGTCATTCAAAATAATACTTATGTAGGACATGTTTTCTAGGTACAGCACATATCTTGAATGTGACTGCAGTGGTGGTACAAGTAATTCTGTAGAAAGCATGACATAATATTTATGGATTTTGACTGTCGTACGCCATGCAACTAAAATCTACCTATAACTCTAGTTGTGATTTGTCATTTTTGATCACTAATCTGGATGTCTCTGATTTGATCTATATACTTCTCTGTCAGACCTATGAGCCGTACGAACTCTGCATGCGTGGTAAGTAAGTAAAAGACGGTATTGCAAGGATTGCTCTGCACCTCTTGATTCCTAACAAAATCGCTTTAAAGGAGCGACCTGTTTGCCAAAATAGATATTTTTTTTCCGGCATACTTCAAGAATCAGGTGAGTAATATTTAAGCTTTCCATGGTACGCTGTATTTGCAAGGCATGTCGAATGAAAACCTCTATCTGCAGGACAGAGGAAATGGAGAGAATATAATGTTTCTAAGTTGCTAAGCATTCTACCAAATTTCTTGTACTACTACCATTGTAACGCTGCTTTGTTGGAACCTGCTTTTAAATCCATGTGCATTAGAGGCAGAATTCCTTGCAGGCTCGCAGCTGGGAAACTCTCGCCTGATGCATTCTAACGGAAACCTACATACCAAAGATTTTCACCTGGACTGTTGTCTTGGTAATAGAGACCTCTACTACTAATGTGACACAGGAGATGTCGGGTTAAATGTGCGACCAGGATTGCTTTTATTGGAGATGCATTCCTTGGTACCTATTACTAAGGATTTGATAGCTACTACTGTGCATTGTGAAATTCCGGCTTGTCTCGGGAGAGCCATATTCGACAGCCATATTCAGATGAAAATTATTCGGCCCTTGGCACTCCGTGATAAATGCCCCACCAAAATTAGGTGGCGGGTTGATCGCGAAGTCCCCACAGTATATGCAAGAGTCAAGGACATATTTTTGACCTTATTGACGGTCATCCTATTTCCTATTTGGGATTCTTGATACGTACTGCGGTGTTGTATCTATTATCTGGTCTATTTGGCCCTTTTTGGCTGATTCTGCTTGCCCTCATGCATCGCCTTGTAGTTCAAAGTAGCCCCTCTAGCACGTTTAGGCCGTACATTCGTCTGCAACAGAGCAGGAGCTGTTGAGGCAGGCAGAACAAAGGGATCCTCCTCCTGGGGCGCAGGCAGGCTATCCTGTGGAGGCGTTGCCCTGACAACCAGCTTCTCTGGGGGTGGCGGAGTCGCTTTGATAACGAGTATCTTATTCTGCTGCCCTGTTACCACAGCAACATCTCTTAAGCCAAATTGGGGTATATCTGTTGCAGTAGAAGGGCCCAAAGCCATGTTGATAGCAAGCTGATCCCTTTCTTGCAGCCGTTATTCGCGTTCACGAGCGTTAAGCTCTCTTGCAGCTATTTCTGGCCCTGTGAGAGCTCTGGCGTTCGCTTTGCCGTGTAACTTCTTGGGTACCCACTTCTTCTTTGGCATAGCGAGAGGGTTAGTAACAGGGATACCACGGCCCTTGTACGTAGCCTGAGCTAAACCAAGTATTCGTCTATTATTTTGAGCGATTTCGTTATCGATATAGGCTTTATCTGTGCCAGATAAGGCATCTCTGATCATCAAAAGGTATTAATCTATAGAGGTGTGCTGTCGGCGCTGTGGAGAGAGATAGTTAGACTCTCTTATCCCAATTTCGTTACTCTCTTAATTTATTAGTATCTAGCCACTGAATTAAATAACAGGGCCCTTAATCCACTAACAAGAGTGTATTAGAGACTTCAGGATAGGCTGGCTAGTTGTTACAAGGCTAAAAAGGGAATGTTTGTAAGGGAGATACTATTAAAGAGGCAGTTGACAGTAATAAAGCTTAGTACCTAAATTTCCTTAGTTAGCAACTATCTCCTTAATTAGTTCCTACTTATCTATAAGCTTATTAAGAGCAAATAGACTAATTTCGTTAAATAGAAATTAAAATATAGCTTTATCTTGTTGAAGACAATAAGAGCGATTTTGTTTAGAGGTATTTTTATCCAAATCAAGCGTTTTTAGTATCTTTAATACTGTCTCTATAAGGCGTTTAGCAGACTATTTAAGAGATAGCTAACTATTTGTTATAATACGAAGAACTAGATAATAGCCCTCTGAATAAGAACTTGACGTATAACCAAGATTTATATAGCTATTAGTGTAATAGTATATTATATACTGTTCTTTTGGTATCTAAATTTCGTTAATATACTTCTTCTTTGCAGGCTATAGCTTATTAAGAAGCTTCTGACAGTTAATCTAAAGCTCTTTAAACGTAGAACTCTTGATATAGATTTAACAGAGGTCCTGTAAGACGTTAATGTCATCCTTTTTGTAACCAGAGGTTCGAAATCGTCTTAGCATCGCTTGAACTATATGCCAGTCGCAGTTTTGTAATAAGGTATTTAGAAGAGTTATAGACATAGCTGTTAGGAGACTAGCAGCTTAATCTCTAATAATATTACGGCAAAGAAGTATATTCTTAATAAAGTATTCGTATTTAAGGCAGTTAAAGAAGAATTCGAACAATTCTATACTTTCTAAAGGGCAATAGTTAAATGCTACAGGGAATGTTGACCCTGAATTCGTTATACTAATAGTAGTAAGGAGAGGCAGGCAGAGCTTATTTATATTAAATGTACTGTTAATAATAAGAACTTGATCTGTAACAAAGTATTAAGCGATAGCAAGCTATTAAGAATAAGAAAACCAGATTTGAATAAGTCTCTTACTTGTTACTTTATCCTTATTATTATATTTAATAGCAAGTCTCTTATAATAGATAAATTTAGCGTTATTAAGTGCTTTCAGAAGGCCCTGAATCAACTCTATATTGCCTTTATTAGCTAGTTGAGTTTAAATAAGGTTGTAATACTTTTTTGAGCTTAGAAAAACGTTATAATTATTACAATTAAGGATATTTTGACTTAAGGAGTAAGGTATAATCTTTATTGGATAGTTTATTACAGAGGCTATAAGCTATTAATACTCAGAGATGAGCTATTAGTTGATTTCGAACATAAGAGGGTTATCAACTAGCTAATAAGAGTGCTTAAGCTCAGGAGCAGTCAAAGAGTATTCTTTAACACCAGAACCCTGTTTACTGACGTCTTTGATAGAGCAGTAAGCGTACTAGTTGCAGCCCTTTTGTTTCGTTTGAGTTGCGCCTCGTTTTCTACTACTGATTATCTTGCCCTCAGAATCCTTCTCAACCTTTTTCAAGAGCTTGTGATTGTTCTGCGTTTCATCAGAATAGTGGATACATCGAAAGCGTTTACAGGGCGTCAGCGCTGTTCCAAAAAGTCTCGCTCGAAATAGGCAGGCAGGTGGGTAGGTAGGTAGGTAGATAGGTAAATAGGAGTATCCGGTGGGCGGCGATAGTGAAAAACCAACGTGATCTTTCTTCTTCTTGCGTAGTGAGGGCGTTGAAATTGTTGTATCATTTCGACGCTCAATACCTATTTGGGAAGCAACGGCAAGCTCAATATCACAAATGGCAGTGGCATGGCAGTGTGGAAAAGAATTCAGGAAACCCTCATACAAATTACTACTGTGCAATCACGTGCATTAGTTCCGGAGTGCCAAGGGCCGAATAATTTTCATCTGAATATGGCTGTCGAATATGGCTCTCCCGAGACAAGCCGTGAAATTCTTGCAAATCCTTAGCGTTATATCAAGAATTGCTGGCGCCGCGTTGTTAAACAGAAACAGCTCTTAAGGGATCTTCAATGGACTTGTATCATGTAGCCAATATATCATTAGAATCAGAAGAAGCTTAGCATCATTTTGATATAGAAATTATACAATCTAGATGCGTAAGTAAGCCTCAAGAGCTGGCTTTGGTTTGACGACGCAGCGCCAGCAACTCCGCACAGCCTCCAAATATTTGTAAGAGTTTCGCAATGCACAGTAATTACTAGGAAGGATCCAAGGCTAGTGACACTGCTGATCTTGGCCTAGTACCCCTGGGCGGAGGCCCATAGACAGAATTGGTAGCCGTCTGGGCAAAATCAAAAGTATCATAATGATTAGGCTGTTCTAAGCTGACTCTTACGCCTAGATAATCCCATTTCTTGTGACAGATATACAGGAGCCCAGACGGTTACTAATTCTGTCTATGGCCTCAGGCCTGTGTGATCAAAAGACTCACCATCAGCATCACTGCTCCTTGGCTGCTAGCCAGCTTATCTTTTCTTTAGGGGCACCAGGGGCACCGGCATCCAGCTCAGATGCTATGACATTACTGGAGGTTATGACCAACAGGGACAGGATGATTTCATGAACGTTCTGTCACGTTCTGGACTTACCATGATCATTCTAAAGACATAAGTATGTACAAGCCGGCCATCATTCCACCAGCTAGTCAAGAGCGAAAGACTAATTCCCAAGTCTGAAGCCTTCTGAAGTATCGTCATGCCAACTAGGGTCCATAGCTGGACTCGAAGATATGATTTCTTCTTCATCGTCCATTGTTGTCCTCCTGGTGCGCTTCAGCTCCAAAAGGCCTTGCCTACTCATCCTTATGGTGGTGTGATCATACACATAAGTGAAGGTTTTCAAGCGTAGCCACCATGCTGCATTGCGTGTCCTGCTCTTTCTTGTAGTCAATGTGACTCGTCTCGAATGAGGGCGACAATCATGCTGTGACCGCTTAGTACCTGGGTGTTGGTTGTAGGGATCAAAACAATACCTGTAAAGATAGAAGAAGAACATGACCAGATGAAACCCGAGCTTGATGAACGATTCCTATTTTACCCATCAGCAATGCCATTTCTCATGAAGCGACAGAAAATGGAACCTTCTTGTGAATGTTAAGCTTCCTGAAAATCTCGGTCGCATCAAGCAGATGTCGATTTTCGAAATATCTATGACAGATCTTGGTCAATAACTCGGCTGCCAGACTTCTTCCAAGATTGACATACTTCTTGCCATTAAATGCCACCAACGGGACATTAAGCAAAAGTGCCAACCAGTATCCATTGATCAAGAAAAGCGATGTGAGGAACAAATGTACTGATGCCTCCGGCACGATATAGGCGTTCAAACGATTACATAGATCGACAGGGTTGATGTAGTCGCTGTGGAGAGAGGTTAGCACTGGAGTTCATAAAAGGTGTAGCGGTTCCCGTCAGGACAAGGCTCTTCAAAGGGACAGGTCGCGGCATGGCGGCGACTGTCATCAAATGTGTACCTACCATTCTAGATCGCTGTACATGATGGTGAAGAAGACTTGGAGGAAGAGATTGACAGCATTAATCAGAACTGCGAGCAGGTAGAGCCATGCTTCACCAGACATCATTGAGGAGGCAGGCCGGGCAACGGCCTGGGAGGACGATACAATTGCGCCGATGGCGAATTATTTGCGTCTTAGAGTTGGTCCAGCCCGTGACGGATAGTATTGTGTCTCCTTTCAAGGTCCGGCGATCGTTAAGAGGTCTGTGAGTTCTTTTAGAGGGTTGGGCAATGAAGGATCCCAGCTAGAGGTTGACTGCGAGGAGCTTGGTCTGCAAGGAGCGCTTGCGAGATTAGGTGTGTTGCGAATTGAAATAACGCTTGGATAGGAGAAAAGCTGCTCGCTAGGTCATGCTTCGAATTGTTGTAAAGATCTCTATTTGTCGTTGCTCGATAGCCCAATCTCAACATCAGAGAGCAGGTGGGAATTACTTGCGGACAGCTCACGTGCGGGGCTAAGCCTTATATCACATGTCAGTACTCCGTACCCCCGTACCAGATTCATGTTGTGTGAGATCAGCTCGCGTGATCATAGATCTTACGCAAGACCTTTACAGCATTGTATCAAGGCGCTTTGTTATGCCTGTGCCATTTAGGATAATCATATCCAACCAGCCATGAAATTCTTTACAGGAGTTCATCTAAGGTCATGGTCATGCAAGTCTCGCATGCGTTGCTGCTGAATCACAACCCATAAAATGTAGTCAGCTCGAAGGTGGCGTCAAAAACCAATTATACAGCTGAAGAAAGCTGGGGAAAGTTGTCTGAAATGGTGGAAGATCAATCCATGGTAGTACAGTTGCCGGTACGGAGTATTGAACCATAGGTGAATGACCATTGTTGAAACCGAGAACAAATATTGTGGGATACTACACTGCATGCACGTAGGCAGATATGCTGCATTATATTTGTCAAGCGGATCGGGCCGTGTCACGTAAGATTAGGCTACGGCATATTTAATGAAGAGGATGCCTGCAGTGCTCTGCCACTCTCCGCCACAGCCTGTCTCAATCAACAGACGACACATCCCCTTGAGCCATATTCCACTACTCCAGAGCGTACCTGTAGACTTCTTCCTATACCCGGCTCTTAAGGACACCCCATTCTCTCCTTATCGCGACATTCGACTCATGTATTCGCGAATGCTTTGTTAAAGCCCACGTGCAGCGCTCTCTGTTCCAAGCCTCGTCTGCCTAGCTTTTGTTACCAAGTCGCATCGCCAATGCGGGCCTTAGGTCTTGCATCATTCTTGCTGGCACTCTCTCCGTTGCCATGGAACGCTGGCGCATACCAAAATCTCTCAACATCTAGCCTGACCCAACAATCCTTCTCCATCCTCGATGACCGACCCGATGGCTGTCCTCCATGTCCCCGATGCTTCGACTGCCATTACGAGGAGTTCGCTTGTACTCAATTTGCGGAATGCAGTCAGTACAATGGAAAATGCTCCTGTCCACCTGGATTCGGTGGCGATGACTGTTCGGAGCCGGTTTGCGGCTCATTGGCAGACGGAAAAAGAAGATCACCCCGCGAGGGTCAATACTGCGACTGCGAAGAGGGATGGGAAGGCATCAACTGCAATGTTTGCACCACCAATCAGGCGTGCAACGTGATGACCCAGGAGGGGGATGGTGGAGTGTGCTACAAACAGGGCGTGGTGGTTAAGGAGAACTACCAGATGTGCAATATCACTAATCGGAAAATCTTGGACCAGTTGAAGGAGCAAAAGCCTCAGGCCACATTTAGCTGCAATGCCGAGCATCAGACGTGTAATTTCCAGTTCTGGGTGGACCAAAAAGAATCCTTTTACTGTGCTTTGGACACCTGTTCGTGGGAAGCGAACGATTACTCAGACCGAAACACCACGAAGTACCAATGCGAAAATATCAAATGTAAATGCATTCCGGGTCGAATGCTGTGTGGTGAAGAGGGTTCGATTGACATTGGAGAATTTCTCGAGGCTTCGATTAAAGGTCCCGCGTCATTTAGCTCTCTAAGTACCGAGGGTGGTAGTACCCGAGACGGCAGCAAATTCGAAGAACCCGCAATGAACAACCTGATCAAATCCGTCTTTGGAGATGAAAGTATCACCTTAGACTGCCGGTCAGGAGAGTGCTTGTACAAGACCGAGGTTCCTGGATATACCCGGCCCATCAAAGAGATCAACACTCCTCTTATAGCTGGTGTCATTGCCGGTTGTGCTCTTTTCTTGGTCGGAGTCACCCTCATAATCTGGTATCTCACGAGACGGGCCGTCTACAAAAGGTACGGCGCAATTCGCCTGACGGACGAGGATGATGACGAGAGCGCAAAACTGATGGCCAGCCACAAACCGGCTTCTCTACAATTTGAGAATCTATCATACACACTGAATGGTAAACAGATCATATCAGGAATCTCTGGGACCGCACAGCCAGGTCAACTTATGGCAATAATGGGGGCATCAGGTGCCGGAAAATCTACGTTTCTTGATATACTGGCCCGGAAGAACAAACGAGGGCACATTGATGGTAGCTTCTACGTTAATGGTGAAAAGATTCCCGATGACAACTACCGCAGCGTCATTGGCTTTGTTGACCAAGAGGATGCAATGTTCCCCACTCTGACTGTGCATGAGACCATCATGACCAGTGCACTTCTGAGACTCCCACGAGACATGGGCATCTCGGTCAAGGAACAGCGTGTCTACGAGGTCGAACGTCAACTTGGCATCTACCACATCAAAGACCAGATGATCGGATCGGAGGAAGGAAGTGGCCGTGGGATTTCTGGTGGTGAGAAACGTCGCGTTGGCATTGCCTGCGAGCTCGTCACAAGTCCCAGCATCCTTTTCTTGGACGAACCGACCAGTGGTCTGGATGCCTTTAATGCCTTTAACGTGGTGGAATGTCTGGTGACGCTCGCAAAGACCTACAACCGTACAGTCATATTCACCATTCATCAGCCAAGGTCTAATATTGTTGCGCTTTTCGATCAGCTTATTTTGCTTGCAAAGGGCAAAACTGTATATTCAGGAGCTTTCTCGAGCTGTCAGTCATACTTCGACGACATTGGATATTCATGCCCGCCAGGCTTCAACATTGCCGATTATCTGGTGGATCTGACCATGCATGCTGGCATGTCTCGTTCTCCAGCGCTAGAGAGTGGACCATCCTATCTCAATGAGCGAGACGGTTTGATGACTGGATCTAGTAGCATGAGAGCGGTCAAGTCAATCGCGAGCACATCCAACGTCAGTGTTGAAAATAGTAGTTTCGGCAGCCCTCGAGATTCTAATCTGCGGCCAAAGGTCAGACGGAAGCAATCGCTAAAACAAAAGCAAGACAGGCAGCTGTACACGAGGAAGAAGAGTGCTGCCGGAGACGACACTCCTCCAACCCCTCGCACTGACGAAGAAGACAACATCAACGGCGTTGCTTCTGAGACTAACAGAAATTGGGTGAGGTTGGCGAGACAAGATGGCACAGTTCCACCCCAGATCATGGAGGACCCTGATCAATTGCCTCCAGCCGCCAATGGAGCAGACACTGACCTCGACATCTTGGTCTCAAGTTACAAAGAATCTGATGTGGCGCGCAGTATCCACGACGAGATTACAGCAGCAGTCCACTCAGCCTCTTCCGCCAACGGGACAGTCTCAAATGGACCCAACGGCGTTTCTGTCAGTAATGGCTCTATGACCTCGTTCAGAAGAGTCAGTTTGCCAAGGCAATTCCTCATCCTTTCTTTACGAACGTGGCGGAATCTGTACCGCAACCCAATGTTGATGCTCACGCATTACGCCATCGCTATTATTCTTGCTGTCCTTTCGGGGTATCTGTTCTATGGCTTGACAGACGATATTCCCGGTTTTCAGGACAGATTGGGACTCAACTTCTTCATCCTCGCCCTATTCGGCTTCAGCACTCTAACAAGCTTGACCGTTTTCTCCTCGGAGCGGCTGCTATTCATCAGAGAAAGAGCAAATGGATACTACTCGCCTATCACATACTTTGCCGCCAAGGTAGTTTTCGACATTGTTCCACTTAGACTCTTACCGCCAATTCTGACCGGAATTATTGTCTATCCCATGGCTGGTCTCGTCCCTGCGTGGCCACAATTCTTAAAGTTCCTCTTGATCCTCATTCTCTTCAACTTGGCCGCTTCGTCGATCTGTCTCTTCATTGGCATTGTTGTCAAGGATGGCGGGGTGGCAAATCTGATAGGAAGTTTGGTGATGCTGTTCAGCTTGCTCTTTGCAGGTTTACTGCTGAATCGAGAATCAATACCCAAACAGGCATTATGGTTACAAGATGTAAGTTTGCCCTACAATACCTGCCAAGTCGCTGTACTCACCATTGTTTATAGCTCTCCATCTTCCATTATGCATTAGAAGCATTGCTCGTGAATGAGGTAACATACCTTACGCTGATCGACCACAGCTACGGCCTCGATATCGAAGTCCCAGGAGCGTCTATCCTCAGCGCCTTTGGGTTCGATACTCTGGCTCTATGGAGAGACGTGATCGGATTGGCCGTCTTCTCTGGTGTTTTTATTATCATTGCTTATGGAGCTATGCACTTTTTCTTGGTAGAGAAGAGGTAGACTACTATGGAAGGGGTAATTTCGCTTCTCGTTACGTTCAACGGACATGCTGGATTATTAAAGATCGCTACCACATGCAGAGTATGGCGCTTGAGGTTTTCACAAATCTAGGATTGTCGGGCAGCTGTACCTGTCTCTGTACCTGTCTCTGTATCAAGATCACACTCTGCCTACCAAAGTCGCCAGATTTCATGGATTGTGAACCACTCCTCTGTGCACTAACTAGCCTCCTCTGTGGTCTCTGGTCTTGTCACCTGATTGACTGACGAGCAGCTCCAATGACATGGACCAGCTTCTTATACAGGACTAGTGCGCGCCCTGCGGATGACAACAATCATGAGATGGTTATGGTTCACAGAAGCATGCCCTCATAGCCAATATTTGTAAATATTGTCAGAGGTCCAATTCCTGACACTTTGAGATCGAATTGACACATCTGATCCACAACACATCTCCCTCTCCGCCTTTCTATAAAGATGGTACAGGTAGAACCGTTCCTGGTTGAAGAAGTAAGATATTCCCATATCAAGCACTCGTCCTTTCCGAGCCCTGCCTGACCCTCTTCTCGGTCGCTAACATAACACCCAGTGGATGGACAAGCACGAAACGCGAGCAAAATACAACATAGCCGAGACGTGCGCCTGCAGCATCTCGATCTCGGATCTCGTCTCCCTGTCCGAGCAGCCCAACACCCCCTCTCCACTCTCTTACACCACCAGCACCACCAAACTAACCTACGGATCCATCCGCGGCTCCTCCGCCCTCCGCACCAACATCGCCAACCTCTATTCGGCCCGCTCTGCCGCCTCATCCGCCCTCTCCACCCATCACTGCCTAACCCCAGCGAACATCCTCATCACCAGCGGCGCCATCTCCGCCAACTTCCTCGTCCTCTACACCCTGCTGTCGCCGGCGACCACGTCATCTGCCACTACCCGACCTACTCGCAGCTGTACCAGGTCCCGCGCTCGCTGGGGGCGGAGGTAACATTCTGGAAAGCCGACCGAAGCCAGGCATGGCAACTCGATATCAAAGTCCTGAGATCGCTGATCCGAACCGCGACCGAGACCGCGACCGCGACCGCGACAGCAGACGGGAAAGGGACGACCAAACTCGTCATCCTCAACAACCCCAACAACTCGACCGGCTCCATCATCGCCGCATCCAACCTTCTCAGAAATCGCCGCCATAGCCGCCGCCCACAACATCACCATCCTGTGCGATGAGGTCTACCGCCCGCTCTTCCACTCCATCTCGCCCACCGATCCGGACTTCCCACCCTCAGCCCTCGATATCACCCCGCCGACCCCCCCTGGAGGCTCAGGCTATCCCAACATCATCGTCACAGGCAGCCTGTCCAAAGCCTTCTCCCTGGCCGGTATCAGGGTCGGATGGATCGCGTCCGCGAGCGTCCCGCTGATCAACAAATTCGCGTCCAGTAGGCACTACACCACCATCTCGGTGTCGCAGCTCGACGACGCGTTCGCCGCTTTCGCTCTCGCGGGTCACTGTGTGCATGCGTTGCTGGGCCGGAATATAGCCCTTGCACGGACAAATCTAGAGCTGTTGGAGGAATTGTGTGTGAGTTCGAACGGAAGGGGTGGTGTGAGTGGGTCAGGCCCGTGGCGGGGACGACGGCTTTTGTCAGGTTTGCTAGGGATGGCGAGGCGGTGGATGATGCGATGTTTTGTCGGCGATTGCTGGAGGAGAAGGGTGTGTTGGCTGTGCCGGGCGGGGTGTGTTTTGGTGATGCGTATGGAGACATTAAAGTGCGGGAAAGAGATGAGGATGGGGAGGGAGGGGATGCTAAACATGGAAAGGGCGAAGAAGGGGAGTTTGCGGGATATGTGAGGATCGGGTCTGTGAATAGTACGGATATTGTTAGAGAGGGGTTGGATGGGTTGAGGAGGTTCATGCGCGAGGAGTTTGAGAGTGTGCCGTTGTGGAGGAGCAGTAGGGAAAGGGAAGAGGTATAGGGATGTGTTCATGGGCATGGATGAGTCGGCTGCTACTAGTAGTGATCGCTGGTAGCCAAGAGAGGGATGAGTATGATGTTCTGCTTCATAAAGACGTAGAAGTCCTCGGGTATCATTCTATTTGTACAGTGTTCAGTAGCCGCTCACGAGGCCCGAGAGACCGCCTGGGAAGGAAAAGCTACCGTGATAGCGTCGTCTGAAAAGTTACTCATGCCCACATCTGCAGACCTGTCCCTCCTCTGTTCCTCCTCATACTCCTCCTCATCATGCGAAATACTCCGATCAAAAACTCCATCCCATACCCCTTTCTTACATATCAACCCTCCAACCATAAGCAAAGGCAAAGACCAAATACTCGCCCAGAACAGACCCCTTGCACTTCCTCCCGCCCCTCCTTTCGCCCAGAATCGATATGCCTCCCTGCTAATCCAAATGTTACATACCGTACTGAGTGCCAGGAATCCATTGTTCACCACCCCGGCCCAGCAGAGTCCTGCGCAGATTGGATACAGCAGCAACGAATACCGTAAGGCCACCCTCCCATTCATCGCTGGATTCGTCCAGGCCAGCATCCTGTATCCGGCATTTCGATATTCATCCTTGATGCTGTGGGACAGAGCGTTGAAATGCGGGAACTGCCATGCAAAGAGTAGTCCCGCCAGCAACCAGCCTCCTAGCGCCTCTTCCGTGAATAGCAGATCCTGCCATGAATGATGCTCTGCTGTTGCGGATTGGCCTGCTGCTGCTGCCCAGCCCATGAGAGGTGGTATAGCACCAACGATGGCTCCAACCCAAGTGTTTAGGACGGATGCTCGTTTTAGAGGGGTGTAGATGCCCGCATATAGGAAGATATTAAATGCGGAAAGGGCGGCCACGGTCGCGTTCGTGCCGAGATAGAGGAGGCTAAGGCCGGCGGTACCAGTGGTGAAGGCAAAGAGGGAGGCGGCGGTTGGAGTGACAAGTTTACGAACCAGCGGTCTATTGCGGGTTCGAGTCATAAGGGCATCGTACTTTGGTTCGAAGAGCATGTTTAGGGTGTTGGCAGAGGCGGAAGAGAGGAAGGTGCCTGTCGTTAAATATGCTAATGTGAGAGTAGATGCTGATAAGGTTGTAGCGGAGGCAAGGCTTGCGGTGGTGGTAAGAATGTCAGGGATGGGATACAGTGAATATGCTGCTGTACTGGTGAGTACGATAAGGAAGGAGAGGCGAGGCTTCGAAAGGGAAAGATATGTGGCGACGATGCGACGTATCGAGGCAGAAGACGGTAGATTCGTGGCAGCGGTCGCCAATTGAGAAGAGGCGTCTAGTGGGATGGCATGTTCAGAGCCAGTGGAGATGGCTTTTAATCTCTTCCTTCGATGGTGAGGCAGACCTTCTGTGGTTGATAGTGTTGCCGGTATATCGAGCACTTCTGCACCAGCTTGTTGCTCCGACAAGCTAGAATTCCCCTCCGTCACTCTATCTTCCACAAGTATCGGCTTATGTACGGAATGGCTGCGGGTTGACGGCTGTTCTGCAATGGAGCTCAATGCTGCCATGACCCCATTCTTCACCCATCCCCGATCAATGGAAGTGTTTGCAGAGAAATAGTCATGGATGAATGTCTGAGGCACCACAAGCTTCTCGGGAGTGATGGCGCCATGAAGTTTCCTTTTCGTATGGATAGAAGATCTGTGGAGGAAGTGGACTGAGGACGGTCGTAACATTCGTAAAAGATGTCGTGGACATAGCCTTTTCGATCCAAAAGCTGCACCAAGCCTAGCAGCCTTGGTCTGAATTATCATGACCATGTTATGTGCATTAACCAAGGATCATGATGGTTTGATACAAGAATGGTAGAGCTCCAAGTCTTGATGCCAAGATTTAGCAGTCACTGCTTTCGGTGCTCTCTTGAACCGAGCAGCCAAAAGCCAGGCGAAACATGAGTCGCTTTCACACTGGCCCTCCGGCTCATGGTTTCGTGACGATCACGCCCTAAATTATTAGGCTGCACCACCTAAAGTGCTCACCCAATGATCTCTAGACGCCTTATAAGGACCCTCAACGTGTGTGCACAGAGAATACAGAGACCCAGTTCTTCTACAACATAAGTAATTCACTTCCTTCGGAGCCATCCAAGATCAAGCAAAATGATTTGTATCACAATCTCACTATACACATGTCCTAAGGTCTGTTCAGGCTATGAGAGGTCCTGCGCCTTCTCCAGGAGACCTCATGACAGATATACTAAGATACAACCATTTCTTACACTACAAGGTCATAGACTTGAAGGTGATATGTATTTCACATAAATCGTCATTGGGCTAAGGTCGCCTTTACTTACTGCCCAATGCGGTGGTAGAGAAAACTGCCTTATTGGGCAAATCATTCAATGTACATCTGTTGCCACTACTAAGTTGAGCTGTAGCAATACTCGAATATCTGCTGATAGGTTCTAAAGTGACTTTGTTGTGGCATCTCTTCCCAATAGCAACTGCAAAGAACCAAAACGCTGCGGTACCGCGGCAATACAAACATGATATTTAACAATGTTGTATGTTAAGGCACGAATGAAAACCGGTACACACCTAAGCGCTCATTCATCTCTCAAGAAGACATTGTTTTTGTCCTTCATCAACTGGGCCACGTATAACTCTAGAGCTTTTTGTAGTTCGTAGGTACTGTACCGTTGCTCGTGTTGCATGATTGAGTCAGTCCCACGGCTGAATTGATTTTATAGCTAGGATGTCTCTAGTCCCGAAATTTGGACTGTCCCAAATATGACGATAAGGGTCGGTGTCAGATTCTCCTTCATCTAAGTTATCTATCATGAAGACCATAAACTGGTGCGCAATCTGGTGCTGTTGTATCAACATCTTGTCCAGCTAAAGAGACAGAAATAAAGACTGAAAGACGGCAATCAAGCAAGCTGTGACACTGCCCTTGGATTTAGGAAGTATCAAATATGTGACGATAGGGGTTGGTGTCAGATTCTCCTTCAACTAAGTTATCTATCATGAAGACCATAACCTGGTGCGCAATCTGGTGCTCTTGTATCGACATCTTGTCCGGCTGAAGAGACAGAAGTGAAGGCTGAAAGACGGCAATCAAACGATCCGGGGTCATGAGGTTCTGACTCGAGTGCCCAGCACAGGCTTGAAGAAAGGCGAGCAAGTACATCAACAGGTGGTGGTTCACTTCGGGTGTTCCCTCAAGCGCCTGATTGACTGTCGCCAGTAATCTGGACTTAGTTTTCGCATCTAACCGTGCCCTATTGTGTCCACCATATATGTTCATTGCTGAAGCAAGTTCCACGTATATTGCTGTGAAGTTCTTATAGCAGTTGTATGGAATAATTGGTTCCGGCAAGAGTTTGAGATAACGTAGTAGAAGACTTGCAGCATCATCAACCTCATATTTGTCCCATGTCATTGCACTGCCATAGTGACCAGTCGAGCAATAGCTGCTGAACAGATTATAGAGCTCTTGTATTCGTGTCGCTGAGCCAGATTTGAAAAAGATGTCCTTGGAATCTAAGCCTGAGGAGAAAGTGGATCAGTTGGTGATTGAGGTCTACAAGTGGAGGCTAGTGATTACCTTCTGCACTGATATAAGCACAACATCTTGCAACAACCATGGGAACATGGCCCCAGATGAAGGGCTTTCCGTCCTTCCTGACTCCGGAGATCGCGGCACAAGCCATCTCGATGCTAAGACGTAGAGGCACGCCAAATACAGGAGTAAGATGCCACTCATCTTCGATAGCTGGCCTCACGCTATGATTTCTTCGTAGCCTCGTTGAAGCGATTTTATTGAGTTTACTCAAAACCAGAACACCACCTTTTTGCTCGACAACAGTCTTCAAAGAATGATCTCGCTTCAAGGTATCGCTATCGACCTCCCCAAATTGATACATTTCTCTGTTGCTGATCTCTTCGGCATATATTGGTAACGATAAAACAGCAATGTTAGAGATGTCTGACAGGCTGAGCCCTGTAAGTATTGACCATGATGCTGTTCTACCGGCCGAGCTGACGAGTGAAGATGAACCATCCATGTTCCGTGCTGCACGCTGGTACACCCAGCTTTCGTTGAGTTCTTCTTGAAAGACGAAACCGAACTGGTTTTCCCTGATGCTGCTGGTGGTTGAAAGACGTGCGTTGTCTGTCTGAGTCTGAATGTCAATGGTGCGTGCTACCGTCGTCTCGGAGGAGGCCAGCCGTTGAGCTAGCCTTTCATGACCAGTTAACATGTTCTCAACCAGTCCTTCAAGATGTTTAACCGAGTCTTCCGCTACGTAAGACGACTGACTACGTCGAGAATGAGTTTCGGAATGCGGTGGGGTCGAATGAACTTTACGTACCAGGTCAGGATTGTGAGCATCAAAGTCAATGAGCTCTTCTTAATTTGTAAGTTCTTTAAGCACTCGTCGATTGCACTTGCCTTCGTGGCCCAACGCAATCGATCCATCAGGCCAAGTTTGTCGTCCGAGACTAGAGTTCCCACAATCACATCCAGTTCGGAAAATGTGCTGACACAGGCTGAAAGTGTGACCACGACCTGGTCAACCAGAATGAGCGACGTACGTGCTCGATTCGTTCTCGCACTTCCTAGTAAGAAAGCTTGAAGCTGATGTAGCACGGAACGAATCGTGTCGACTTCATCCTTAACTTTCTTAATGTCTTTTGGTGCCTTCCGACTCTTCGTAATTAGAGTAGAGAGACTTGCTGATATCTGTGCGCCCGCTCCAAGAATACCTGCAATTGCGGCCACGACCGACAGAGTATCCATCGTCCTCCCAAAGCACGTCAAGGATTGTTGTATGTATGGATAGGCGTGCCCGTCTCAGCAATCTTCGAGACTTGTCAGGTTGAGCAATAGATTGTAACGAGAGGATTTAGAGCACTCTTGAGGTTTAAGGCTGCGTCAACACTGAGATAGCCTTCCTTGCCTAGCCATTAGCACTGCCACTCTACTCAATGCGCCCATGATTGGTAGCAAAGGTGCTGGGGCTACTAAGCCACAAAGCCCCTACCAAGACATATTCTAGACGGTCTCAGCCGTAGCCTGGAACCATTCGTTCACCTATGGATAGGATGGGTGTTTGTAACAGTAGCATCAATGTAGTAGGTAAAAAGCGAGCTTGTTGCAGAAAATGTTCTTTTCCACCGCCAAGATCAGACCCATTGTCCAACTTGAAATGCAAAAAGAGTGAGACACAGAGCAGTTAGTACTTTCTAGTATTTCAGGGTTGGGGAGAATGAATCTATCTCATTCTTTGTACTCTTGGTAGCTTTGCCTACGTGAGTGATCCCTACAACCATACATGGCGATCAGATCGAGGGAGTACATGGTAGACTTGCGTGACCATCGTCATTGGTTTACCATAATCAATTGCATAAAGACCAACAAGTGATTCTACATCACACAACGTCTTCCTGGTTTAGCCAAAACATCTAGACACCGGCCTCGGGCAAATCGAATAATGTTGTAACCAATCAACGATTCGGTATCAATTCCATTACATACTAGAGTTCCGATCGGATACCTCTCCTGCCGGAGACACTTCATATTGCTTATCTGCTCTTCCCACATCAATGCCAAACCTTCTATGTTCCTTGTCTCCCCACCAACCCAGACTAAATAGCCAACCGTCCCATATATCGCTCCGGGCATTCCATTCGCTTCCTTCCGGCACGATTTTTCTACTAGCGATCTCCGAGCCAGCAAGCAGGACGATAGTCCCAGCTATGGAGCATGGACAGCATGGAAGAAACACCTTTCTGTCACTAAACACGAACACCACCAGAGCGCAAAGTGCCATAAATAGCAGCATTGCTTGCAGTGCCCATTTGGTGTTGGTGTCCTACTTAAGACGCTGCCGGCGCGGCTGAATCGAAGTCCCCTCATAAATTGTTTCTTGGGCAGCTAGATCTGGAGACGAATCATCTTGAGGGACACGAAAGTTGGCATCTATAGCTTGGACCATGTAAGTGGCATACAGCTCTTGTGCGGTTTTCATGAGCTTTGGCGCTCCTTCTTGGCCAAGGAGTGTTTTGACGTCAATGCTATCTTTGCCTTCAACAACTGCATCAAGAAACGAGCCGATTGTTGGATTGGTTATCGGAAGGACGTCCGTCAATTTTTTTTAAGGAATTCTAATATGCGCACCCGGTATCATCTCCATAGGTAAAATTCAGCTTTCTCGCCGTATCCTCAAGGGGAACAGATGGAGACCTGGTGCTGATCGATAAATCCGACACATTGAAAGTGACTTTGTTTTATTTTAAGGGTTCGCATTCAAGACTTGCCGACATTCCTCTGGCATCTGCTGTGTAAGAGGTATTGGCTGTGGACCCTTCTGGAAGCACAATTTCCTCGATCCTTACATTTTTACAGGTGACAGGAGGATAGGGAAGGTTCTTTGATTGGATTTCGTAATACCTCACTATTGCATCCCCTATCTCAGGAGAACCGGACAGATTATGGATATTTGAAGCAAGGGTGCTTGACAAAGCCACCTCACCCGTTTTCTTCACAAGCGAAGATTCGAGTATGATGAGAGCTATAGACGTGATGGCCTCGAGAACGATTAGCTTTGAGTTGTCTTCGATATTACTTTTCTTACCGCCAGTTGGAGCAGAAAGGACCCAAGGTGGAAAGCAGGACTGCAAGATCTTTGCATTGGAAAGACACCCATCTGATGGATGTTGTAGATGGAGAGACGTAATCGCGAATGATGCTTTGATCTGCTGGCGTCGCGCGCTTCTGCATACGAGACCACGGAGTGAGCACCTTGGACCAATAATCAACCCGCCACCACAAGCTGTAGAGTAAGATAAAAACTGTACAGCGTCAATGTGGTGAATTTCAAACATGAGGACGCACATCGCACCAGCAGTTGGCCCATATTTCCAAGTGTATCGATCGAAGTAAGTCTGAGTCACCACACCTGATCGCTTTTCAGAGACGACGTAAAGGGCGATGACGGTGAGAGCCAGAAGCAACAAAGAGACGGTAAAGCATAGGAGCGAGGTCTTGCTTAGCCAGATCGAATTCCACAGGCAGTCGCTGGTTTCGTCTTCTCAAGCGCATATTCAGGCTTGAGACGACTTTCCGAAGATTCGACGCCGGAGTTTGAGATTTCATGTCGGACATGACTGGTGTCGTTCGTGGATGAATTGAGGAATTCTTGGGGATCGTGACGAAATATGGTCCGGGGACGCTCTGAACAACTGCAGGTTGCCTCGCGTCCGTCAAGACTAAATTTTAACCGACATCACTGGAGCTGGTTTGCGCTTGATTGAGAAATTCGCCATTCGAGTCGATCAGCTTGCCAGAGTGCCCTTTCTGTATCTGTCTCGGTCCCTCGGATGATCTGCCTGTAGCATTGGCTCTCCCCCAAAAAAGTCACGTGTCAGGTCACCCCACACTGCAGGAGCGCGTTAAAAAGCCAAGGAATCGCAGTATGTCGCTCGAAGAGATAATGGTTCCCAAGCAAGGCAATAAGAGCACACAATTATCAGCAAACCACCAGATCTCGAACAGTATTTAATACAAATCACTCGTTGGATGTCCTTCATCAGTGGCAGAGAAGGAGACATTTGTAGAGATTTTGTCGTGGATCTCCGAAACCTTCCATTTTAGGTAAATAGTACAGAATAACTGCGCCATAGATCGAGGCGAGGCTCAATTTGAGCCCTGAAACGTTTTTTCATCAAATGGGGGCACCTCTCGGCAGCCGTTGCTTGGCTATGTGAAACTGGCTTTGAGTGGGGATTTGGCCTGGTCCATGAGTCATGGCTAATCTTTCATACAGATATGTTGATCCTCGACTTACTACGTGCTCACATCTAGAATTGATATCTGGATGTGATGTGATTGTACAACAACAACTAAAAAGCCAAATGACATTTTTACTATGAGATTTGAAACTGTAAAATTGTCATAATAGCTTTGTTATAACATAGAGTATTCTCATATGGTATTTTCTCAGGATATTTCTGGGACATCCTTCTGAGGAGCTAGTTACTATCCGCTTACTGGTTATCGTATGCTTGCTTTATTGTACGCTGACTCCTGTGGTCATTTAGAGATACATTCTGATGAAACCCCTTATTATATGTTGAACTCAAAAATACGGTCTGCGCTTATTTTGCTACGTGTGTCACCAGCGTTTTGTTACAGAATTGATACGCGTTTTGCATCAGCCATGCATGTATTTTTGGTATCTGCGTTTCGCGCTACTGCGCTTGATATAACGACTTTGTATGTATAAGTACGCGCTGCTTTCGCACTGAATTAGATAGAACAACTTGCTATTTACACACTATCCATTGATTAGTCAGCACAGTTCATCATTATACCTATGTTATCTTGAGATCCACCCTTTCATGGGCACTTGCACAATTACAGAGCATAAGGGAAATATTAGAACATTTATAAAAGCAGGCTTGCAGGGGCCTTTGTGAAGATGCTCGGAAAAATTTGATGTGAGACTAATACAATAACAGTCTGCCAGGCTTACCAATATGAAAAGGATGAATGGAATACTACCTACAGAATCTATCCCAGAAGGAAGAGAGGCTAATCTAGGACACAGAGTCACGGGATATCAGGATTTGACGTAGCTAACATTCTATTTCAAAAATGATTACATCCAGAAAGGAACGGATTCTCGAGTCGACTTTCCGACAGATGTTCCATCAACATTTTCAAGGAGTTCTGGTATGCAGGCCTGATATAATCCCCATAAGTAGAATTCAGCTTCCTTGCTGTGCCTTCGAACAGGAACAGGTAGAAAACCGATACTGATCGATCAAGAACAGGCGAATCAAGCTCTACCTTAGTTTTCACCTCCTTCCGAATACCCGCGACAGAGAAAATCCATAGACTTCTGGATTGCTTTGAGCGAAACTTGTGTCGTGAAGACTTCGGTAGATAAAACCTACTCTAAGCACAACAAGGAGATCTACATTGAAACAAATTATCCCCCGTGAACGGATCAAAAAGTACTCCTTAGCCATGATCCAACGCCGTAGCAACCATCAACCCTCGACCCTTAACAGCTCTGGATCAACGCGCCTAGACTTATACTGGTAGACTATGATGGTGGGTGATTTTGAACGGAAATCGCTTGAATTCTGACTCTTCCAACGGGGGGCCGCCTTCAACCACCTGGATCTGAGCCCCTGATGCGTGAATGGAACAGAACCATTGATCACAGACCGGAACCAGTTGGAGGACTCAGCACGAATATCTCCATAAACAGCCTTACCCAGGCCCGATAGAGCGTATCGCGCACCAACAGCACCGGACTCACCCACACCGTGTCCGCCATGGGATCCGGCATCACCTTGTGCAATCGATCTGCGGCCAGAATCCATTCCATCAGCTTCCGGTCGGTTGGATCATTCGTCCGCATGGCAGGGCGAGGCGGTCCACCCCGCGCCCGGATCTTCATGACCCGGCGAACCATGTGGGACACCTCCCTGCACCGCAGTTTCCACTCCTGTTCTGTTGTCCTGTCATCTTGAGGGATTTCGAGCCTGCACAGGGTTGGGAGATGGTGACCGGGACCGCTGGGAGGGGAAGGCGCCATGAACCATATTATGGCATCGTCTTGACGGGGTGGAGGGAGCTGGTGGGAAGGTTGGGAAGCAGCGGCGGCGCCCGTCAAGGTAGGGTTGACATGTGCGGGTATACGATGTTGTAATAGGGCTGGGATGTGTCGGGAGGTCATAGGGTCCTTCCGTGGCATGCGTCTCGCCCAAGTTGGTAGCTGCTCCATGGGTATGAGTGGTAGATCCATGCTCAGGGTGGCGAGCGCATACGAGAGGGCGTCTGCGTTGGGTCGAGCACCAGCAACCCCACTGCCGGATCCGGTATCTGCTAGGGGGGAAGTTGAAAGAGGAAGTCGTGTTCTTGCTGCCTGCTGATCATCGTCGCCGCTGCTTTCGCTAGATCTTGCTTCTGTCCATTCAGAGGCTCTTGGGGCTTTTGATGCTGCTGAATTGGGCTTGGCACTTCGAGAAGGGCCGGCCGTAGGTGTAGAAGACATGATCGCCCGTTGGGCTTAGCTTCTGGTCTTTGTGAGGTTGCGGGAGAGAAAAGGTCATCAACGGCAGGATGACCAGTAAACACCGCGCAGCAAGTCTAAGACTTGATCTACCTTTATAATCATCAAAGTATTAAATAATGATAATTATGATATGTTGTGAAAAGCCCGATTGCAATTGGCAGTTGGTATTGGGAAAGGTCAAGCTTACTCCAATGGTATAAAAGCTGCTGCTTTCGCCATCCAGCGGCCGAGATGGCGACTCCTCGGAAGAGTTTGAACAGACACTTCGTTGGTTTATAGTTCTGCCACTATCCGACATCTGCATCTCTGATGCCTAGGCGGACGAGATAATCCGGCGTTGAAACGCGGTTCCAAAAGCGTATCATATATGAGATCACAGATGAGATCACAGACGCTTTTCAATTGACTGCAGAGTTTTAGCTTTGTCTCAGTACAGTAGTACTAGTAGCACATTCTGCAGGGTTGAGTTTGCCTGCTCTGACGTCAACCGGAAAGTGTCCCTTTCTGATGGCCCCAGCAGTGTATCCATCAAATCAAACAACCCAAATCATGACCCCATCTGTCAAATGAAGTCAAATGTCAGCAAGCAAGTATTTTGTTCAGAGACTGTCAAGGGAGGCTTTTTCATCTCACAAAAAGAGTCCGCCAAGACTTAATTTTTTTTAATCAAAACTGTTACCCTGACTATTCTAAAATATAAGATTTAGTAACTGTGCTCGCCAAGCATAGCAAAGTGCGTGCCAAGCGCGTGCGCTGTGCACGTTATGAAGGCCAGGAGGACTCTGATAGATTCTACGTTGTTCTGCGCATCAAGGGATTGTTTTACTACTAGTACTACTACTTGTACTACTTCTACTACTAATTATATCCTTCTTCTTGTACATAGATTCTAGTTCTTCGTGCTCAATGAGTCAATCCTCTGACCCTCTACGGATCCATTTACCCTTGCAGTCCCCTGGGATACTAACACTTTTCTGTCAAGACTTTTCTTTGACTAGTGCTGACTAACTTTTTTTAAATTTCAAAGTCCTGATCTGATTCGATTTAACGAAAGCACGGAGTTGACTTACTAATCTGCCAGGTATTAGATTTGGCTTATTTGATTCAGTTGGGTTCAAATGGACACTACTACCCTGGACATAGCACCAATTTTCCGGTGGATCATCGATCCAGTCAAAAGTACTACAAACGCAAACAAGCGAAATCTGAAGAACGCAGGTGTCCGCCAAGAATTTCTACTATCATTACATTTGGAAGTGCAATGCTGAATTTCGTAGTGGTGGCCAACAAACGATCAAAAGTCAATATGGCCATCTACTTCTTACTGGAAACGCCCCTTGACTGACGCTACAGATTCTCAGGCAGCGTTGATTCGATGCCTTCCGCACGTCACCTGTAGCGAGGTACATGATAGTAGATGCTATGAACTTCGGGAGACGACAGATGTTTTCAGGTTCAGGTTCTGGCAGGACCACTCATCCCGATCGAGCAGAGAAGATATGTAAGGAGTTCGCGACCGTTGGAAGTGCTGCTGGCGTCTTCATCTGTCCGATCAACCCTGGTTGAAAGGTCGTCTTGATTCAATATATTCATCAAGCGTGTCAACTTTTCCAATCCCTCTGATGGTAGTGGTTTCGTAGTGGAGTCCATCATGATTGCGCTCAAGCAGCATATTGGGACTGCCTCCACAACAAAATATTCTGAGGTGAGGATTACTATCTTGCTAATCGTTTCGAAACAAACTGGGTCAAACAATTCAAATCAAACGCTGAACAAATAAATTAAATCTGTACTTTCGTCGAATCAAATCAAGTCTTCGAAATTTGATAACTTGTTTAATGAAAGTCTTAATAATAAAAAGGCCTTCTATTTTCAAATAGTTAGAGTTACTTTTGATGAAAAGAAAAAGGTCTTGGGGGGACCCTCTGTGAGATGACAATCTTTGGTAGACCGAGTGACTGAGGCAAATGATTTGGTTGGTTCGATTTGATGGATACACCGTTAGTTAAATATCGGTACATCGCTTTGTCTCTTTGAGGTTGCCGGGCTAAACTCCTAACAATCTTCGGCGTGTAAAATCCACTAATACAACCAGATTTCTAGAAGTTATAATTGCATCGTGACAGATCTATACTGAGGCTTTCGCTATTGTACGCTGCCGGGTGGCCAATTTCTCCCTTCTTTGTTGCGCCGTCGGCCTTGCGAAGGACGGAGCTAGGGGATTATCGAAGCTGGAAGGACCTGATTTGCCTCCAACGATGTTGTGGCCTTCATCTCAATATTCACACAGCTTGTGTGTGGGTGCCAACAAGGAAGGCAAGTATGAACCCGATGACAAGGTGAAAGATGATGACGGTTGTGTGATATCAGGTGTCAAAGTATAAGCAATATGTGGATAGCAGATTGAAAGACATGTCAGCTGCTTCGCAATTACAAATGCCGTCTATGGTGTCCGTATACAATTTCTTCACTGAAACGTTAATTCATCGAGTGGGAGATTTCAGGGTAGCCGTTGCTTGGTTATGTGAAACCAAATTCGAAGTGGAGACATGATCTGATCTCATAATTCATAGCCAATCTTCTGTGCAGGATAGTGCCTCAGCCGAAGCTACGACTTGTTGATCCCTGGCCTTCGTTCGACGGACCACAAAACCGAGCTTTGAAAGGCTAAGAGAAAGCATACTCAACGCCTACTATTGTATTCGAGTAGGTACCAACCCTAAGACCGTGTCAGTGTACTGAGCGACATGTGTGTGACATTTCTGGGGTTTAAAATATATCAGTTGTCTGTCCTCATGTCCGAATGCACTCGTTCGAATTCTCAGTGCTATTACTGGACGTGAGGTTTGCATGATGACCGACTGAGGTTGATTGGTGTTCATAACTGTGTAGGTGTTTGGATGACCTCCGTACGCCCTCTAGTTTTGGGGTGTCCATCCTGGGAGGAGATGTTGCGGACCGGACGGTAATACCCTTTGGCGTTGCTCTATTCTCAACGAGCTTCTGCCACGTTTCTGAGTATCCATACCAACATCAAGATGGGAACTGAGTGGATTGCACACGAATGCTCCGAATGCAAAGCTGAGTCGCATAGGCCTCCGAGGTTGTGGATGTTCTCGACTTGCTGACTGGCTTTTCGGCTCGAGAGATTTTCGCATTCGTTGGAAGGGAAAATCAGACGATTGGCGCTCGACAAAATTGGCGTTCACATTTAGAATGGGTATCGAGTCTGTTTCCTCCGCTGTGTCCTTCCCAATTGCAGCAGGCCCTCCCTGTCCTTCAAGACAAAAGCTCTATCAGTAGCTCACATGAGTGAACTGTCAAAATGTGCTTCTGATCTGAGAAACATCTTACCTCAAGTCAGCATGATTGGGAAGCTGGACTCATCCCAAAATGACGCTGTCAAAACGCAGTTACAGTCGGCCTTCCGAGCAGTGTATCCAACAAATCAAATAAACCAAATCATGACCCTCGGTTGATCTGCTTATCTGATTTCATTTGACTCGTTTGGCAAATGGAGTCAAATTTTAGTAAGTCTGTTTTTGTCTGGAAGACTGTCAAGAATTTTCATCTCACAACAAAAGTCCGCCAAGAATTTTATCTTTCATAAAAATTAAATTTTTTTCTGCCAAGACTTCCATTAGACCAATTTCAAGTTGTCAAATTTCCAAGTCTTCATTTGATTTGACGAAAATACAGAGGGATATTTTGCCGAGCACTTGATTACTAGTAGGTTTATTCCTGCATCCAAAGTTACGCGTTAAAACTTTGTTCTGTACTCCGTACATTCGTGCAAAATCTGCCTGGCCTTCGGGCGCCAGTCCTAACCACCAAGCTCTCATAGACCGATCATGGCTCTCCATGCCCCCCACGAACATAATACTTACCAGCTGGAAAATCTTTCTCGTCCGGCCTTATTCACCGAGAACGCTTTCAATGGGCTGATGCTGGACCTGTTTTCGACAAATGCTTGTCGTCAAATATAGTAGTTGAGATTATCGATATTGAGTCGGTGTCACCAGATTAGCTGGTACGTAATCGTCAGTTGTTCTGTATCTTGTCTCTTCTTATTTATTTTGTTGACAAGTGACATGCCGAGAGCGACTCCAAATCTTTACCGGACGCGGTTCCACCACTTCGGTGTCACGTGACTCTCAAGTTTCTTCTCCATTGACCAACTCCACCAAAGACCTTTGCCGCGTGTGTATTCCAGCCCCGGAGCGCCGAAGGCTATTCCTTATGCTTGTGGTTTACCCTCCAACCAATGTTGCAAACAGGCCCTTCCCAAAGGTAACCACATAGTACCATGGCTGCTATAGGACCAGATGAGATCAGAACGCTTGAGCAGATACGACAGCGTCTACAAACACTCAACAGCTCTCTCAATTCATTACAGACCAATTTTTATGAAGCTCAGCCATTACCCACGTGGTGTGTATGTCGGCAGCACAGGTCTTGAGGCTACCACAATGCTAACATATTTCAAGGTCTTCGTTACAGTCACACTCTGGGCTGATCTCTAGTAATCTGCAGGCTGTTGCAAAGCAGTTGGCCGACAATCAACAGCTTCTTTCATCATTGGTTGCTTATCCCCTGCCTCAATACCCCAGCGCCCAAGCGCACCTACTAGAGCATCTTCTGCGCACGAAGCTTGAGCCCGAGGTCGAAGAATGGGTGGAAAAAGGACAAGAAATTGCACAGCACCATTCGCAAGGAAGATACAAAGGCCTATCTGAGTCTGATCGAGACGAACTCTGGCGATGGGCTCCACTTGCGGCGAATGATGAAATCCGCAAACAGAATTGGGAGGGCGACTACACCATGGCAGAGAAGGAATCCGGCATCGAACATGTCGAAACTGGCTTGAAAAGAGAGCTTCAAGAACCACTGGATGCCGACGATCACGACCATGGTGAGGACGGGGCAGAGTCAGACGAAGCAGACGACGATGAAGAGGATATTGTCGAAATACGTCGCAAACCGAACGCGCCAGGGCTGGAATTCGATCTCTCAACGGCAAAGCGCCCAACCACACAGATGTCGATCGAAAACATCTTCCGATTTATGGTCACGGGAAGTACTGCTCCTGGCAGGCCACCATGAATCCAGCATACCACAATTTCAACCCGATATCTTCCAATCACAGCAATGTCTGTGAAGGCGGCAAGCCTCTCCAGAAGAGCTAGGGCTGCTGTCCAATTCTGCCTCTGACGAATGCTCTTACGAACTGCTCGCCAGAATGGATAAACTGTGGTATTGAAATGCATTCTCCTAACCTGGACCGTAGGCCAGGAGGGTAGTCTACAAATTTAAGGTGGGCAAGAAGCTTGAACCCCCAGTTGACCAGTAATGAAGCCAACAGTCTAAGAAGTGGCTGAAGTTAGCCTCTTTTCCCGATCAGGCAGATTTCGAGCTGGCCAGTAGTAGTGTTGATGTATCCAAGAGGAATAGTCAATTAGCAAATTGATACTTGATATTGGATACTATTTGAGGAGTTCTCATCCCGCAACTTGGACTTGGTTAATGTTTATTCCGTCTTCACCTCTCCACCAGCCAAGACGAATAGCGATGCAGACACCCAGTCTTCCTACGATACGGGCAAATGGTTCCACCACAACTCGCCCGCAAAAATAGGCGTCCACCGTGACTAGAAAAATCAGCATCCTCTACGATGGCCAGATCCGGACTCTTACCATACCCGGTACGCAGCGTCATCTCTCTCGCCACGCTCAATCCACCCAACCAGATGCATACACCTGCCCAAATCATCCCCCACCTCTCCCTCCTACCCAAGATCCACCACCAAATCTACACCCTTTTCTTCTCCACCAACCCAATCCCCCAACCATATCCCTCAATCCTACACAATCTCATCGCCCCGCTCCCCCCCCCCCTCCCTCCCAAGTCCGAGTATACCAACAAATTTACACTGGAGTCCACCTCCTGCCCTTTTCCCTCAACACCTTCTCCTTTCACCGCTGGCACGGCTCCAGCAGCGTCGAATGCCGTAAGTTCCTGGCTCGGCTGGCTGTGTGGCAGATCGAAGCGATCCAACATGTGAGGCTTGGGATCATGGAATGTGAAGTCCGTGGGCTGGGGACGAGGGGTGCGGGGAGCGAGGCTTTCAAAGTGTGTATGAGGTGCTAGGATCTGGGCTGAGGGGGTCGAGGGTGGAAGTTGAGGAGCCTCACGTTGTGGATTGGTGGAATGATGGGTACGCGGCGAGGTATGATGCTGGCGGGGTGGGGTGCTGGTTCGGTGATGAGGCCAGATGGGTTGCGGATGGGCATGCTAGGTTGGGGAAAGCTGAGAACTCTGCATGTTAGGGCAGTGAAGGGGGTGCTCTCCTTGCTTCTGATGACGAGGACGAGGAGGGATGGAACGGGTGGGACAGAGGTCTGTGAGCGAGCGCTGAAGAAACGGTTGCCCTGATGTGAGAGTGTGGTGGTGTGTTTGCAGCAGGTGAGGGGAAAGGTAACAGCACATGCATTCGGTATATGTGTCTGGTAGCAATCATTGTTCTGCAAGAGAAATTTTGATCCTGCTGCTGACTCGCTTCTCCTACCAGGATGCCCAAAAGCACGCTGAGATGCCAGACATCGACGACCAGTAGACCTAGTACCAGTAAGAGCCCGACCACGTCATCGGAAACTGTGCGGGCAGACAGAGTGATCGACAACGCTGACATGGTTCTCGTATCCTTCCCTGCTTGAGCAAGCGGCCGCTATATATGTATGATACATTCATACCCCTCCTGCTCTCCTCTCCTACAAGACCGACGGATTCTCCGTTAGATTCAAGAACCCATCAACCCCCGCGCAGCTCGTTACCCCTTGTCGTTCTCCCGCAGCTTCCGCATGATCATCGTAAACACACATGATCCGTCGGACATGACTCCTCAACAAGCCCCATCCATGCTGATTCCGGATGTAACGGAGGGAAGAGGTCAGGGAAGAAAACCCCAAGGGCGAGTTGGCCCTTCAAATATGAAAAGATCCTCAAGTGTACTAAAATGCAGACGGATAAGCTTCTTCGGGAGAAAAAAGTCATATCCATTGCCTTTTCTTTCTTTGTTGTGCCTGTTATGAATGAGAGATGGGAATGGGGAGGGGGAAGGAAACGGTAGATTTCCTGGTACATAGGTCTAGTACATGGCAAAAATTTTGAGATTCGATAAGTCTGGCGGGATGAATTGCTTGTGGTTCTTTTTTCTTGGCGGACTCGGATTCCAGAGAGGATTGATGTGACGTGTGACTACTAACCACTAACTACTAGTTAGTAACGGTATCAGGCGGAATTTTTGTACTCACCCGTGGTCATAATTTCTTACCAAACGCCCTCTTTACATACACTTCCTTGTTAGCATCCTTGTCGCTCTTCTGCACGCTCATCCTGCGAATTCTACGCCTTCTGCAGGCAGTCATGTGCTGCCAAGAGGATTTGGCTGTACGTGTATGGCTAATCCCAAGCATTAGACTGTAGATGCCATGTAGTCCATGTGCCGCCAGTGCACTGCAATTCTAGCGTAGATAAAGACGACACGCTTTGACATATTTATAGATTACTAATATCAGGCGGAGATTTTGTACCTCCTTGATCATAATTTCCTATCAAACGTCCACAATTGTCAGCATCCCTGCCGCTATGCTGCATGCTCATCTTGCTCATATCCTACGAATTTTACGCGTTCTACACATTCGACGAGCTACGAATAGCTGTTAAAGCTGCGTGGGATGCTGTACCTTCTGATTATCTTAAGGAGCTGCTTCAGTTGATGCAGGCGAGATATCAATCAGTAATGATGCCAATGGAATGCAAACTCGATTATAGAGACTTGTTCTATTTGGGCCATTTCTTGGGCGTCCATACTCAATTCCGCGTAGGGAGATCAATGCAAGGTTAAAAGAACCAGCACAACAGCGCGCGAAGCAAGCATGTCTCCAGTGGTAGTACACAGGGATAGGACCGTGTTGCTCCCACTGATAAGTTCCGCATATATTGGTCTTTGATTTAGTGAGGATCCGTTAACAAGAGAGAGAGGGGACACTGCTCTGTGGAAGCCGCTGGGCAGACCAGGGTATGATATATGCCCCGAGTGCAGAGGAAAATAGGCTGAATGGATGGATGCTGATTGAGCAAGAGAAGGACTGGATGGTGGAGCGCGAGGTTGCCGGCAGTCCGGAGGTTAGTACTAACTAGTTAGTAGTTGACAAACTTCAATGAAAAGCGATGCCAAGACACTTTTTGAAAGCTGGAAAGAGGTCTGCGGTCATGCTTTGGGGAGGCAAATCTGAAGAGTACAATAAGGTGGCAAATCTGTTCAACCTGCAGCTTCGGAAAGAGAACAAGGTCAGCGAGATGGCAAGCCATGGGCCTCAGGGGAAGGGAGCACAAGGCTTTGACTGTTTCTCGGATGATATGGTATAGTAAAACGATCTCGGGTGACAGCAAGCAGAATGGGCGACCGACCCACGAAGATTTCGTCCTAGGGCTTGTGAAGGGCCCGGACCTGATGGTGCCTGCAAAGCAGTGTAAGCAATCTCGCTGTCCGTATTTTTGTTCCAATTGTCGGACTGCCGCTTGCGCTATCTCATGGGACCTTGTCAAGGCGCAGCGCACTGGACAGATGGCTTGTACAAGCTAGAGGTGAAGCTCACTAGTAGAAGATTGAATGTGTTGTATTGCCTATTGGAGTATATTGGAATGCTTTTGCTGGGAGACGGTGGTGCTTGAGGGTTTAAAACTGGAAGCACATCAATCTCGTCTTGCCTATTGCCCTCCCTGTCGATCCGCCAATGTTTGCATTGACGCAGACCAGGTACAGGGCACCATCCTTCGTATCGCTTTTATCATCATATATTAATCGTTCTGCGTTACTCGTTCTGTTCGTAGCACATCCATGACACCAATCCCATGTAGTGCACAGGCTAACCCATCAGTTTCAGCCCATCTTCGCCTGACTGAAATCCATCTCTGGATGCTGTGCCATGAATTTCTTCAACATATCCTGTTTCTGCTGTTCCTCGCTTGTCGGCTTCCCCTGCCTCTTCATCTCCTGATCATACATCATCTTCTCCACCATTCCTCTCGTCTCACCATCGAGGTCGCTCAATTTCGAGTTCTCCGGCTGGATCTTGGTGACGTCTATCTTGGGTGCGGTGGTAACAACATGTGCCCACCACTCTGACTTGTACTGTTTGTCGAGGTGGATGGAGATTTCTTTCCCCGTAGGAGTGGTTTCGAGCGTCCATGTGCATTCGTCGGGCATGATGGGATGGGGGAAGTCGCCCTAAGGAGACACAGATAAGCACCGTCATGCAGCAATAAGTGTGGATAATCAATGAGCCCAGTCGAGGTAGGCTCATGTACACCTACCTCAATCAACGGATCCTGACCCTTAATTTGAGCCTTTATCCTCATCTTTTTGATCTCCACTATCAGGTCTTTCGCTTTTAGATTGCCAGGAATTGGTATTGTGACATCGACATCCTCGATTCTCTGCGTCCACTTGTAGGGCAATGTGGCTTGTTCAGCTTCTTCTTTCTTTCGAGCTTCGGCGTCAAGCCTTTCGCGTTCTGATGGCGTTGGAGAAGCAGGCCTTTCGGAGGACGACATCCTTGAACCCTTCACAGCCGATGCAAATACCGATGAGGTCCTCTGAGAAAATACAGTCGAGATGTCTCTAAGCTTTGTGGGATAGTGGCCTAGGATGGGGCTCCAAAAATAAGATGGGGTAGCTTTTCCACTGCAGAACCAGCCTGTCAGTGGTAGAATCAGAGGTCTTGGCAGGGCTAAGCAGGAGAGAGGAGTTGGGGGCGAATGCGAATAGCAATGTGGACGACCGACTCAGTGGTATCTTTATTTGCAGCTCGACCAGATTACTCCTACATTATCAAGACCCGAGCTTCCAATGCTGGTATGCTTTTAACTGAGGGCTGTCTTCGCTCAACAAGCAAAGCCTTCTCTCTGCGCACTACGTAACTAGTATGTCAGGAGGGAGTGCTTGGTGTGATGTCGCTCTCATCAGGTTGAGCCGGACCAGGTGTCTGCAGCTTCGGGTCTGCAACGCTCCGAAGCTCTTGATCTGCCTCCTTTGATCCGGTAGTCAGCTCATCCTTCTCTGTTTCCCGCTTGACGCCTTCCTCGCCTCCCTTTACGGCCATGTGATACTCTGCCCACCTCTCCGCATCAATGGCCGAAGGCGCTCCAACCATTTTGTCTTCCCCCTTTGCTGATTTCGGGAAAGCAATAACATCCCGTACGCTGCTGCTTTGCCTTAGTATCGCCATGAGTCTGTCAAACCCCAGAGCTATCCCTGCATGAGGTGGACAGCCTGCTCTCAATGCCTCAAGCAGAGGCCGGAACTCTTCTGCATGGTTTTCCGGTACCTTCAAGATGTCCCTTAACACCATCTCTTGCACCTTGCTGTCATGGATACGACGACTACCACCACCAATTTCGACACCGTTGATGACAAGATCGAAATGGTCAGCCTTGCAACTCAGGGGGTCTGTGTTCAGCCTATCAACGTCCCACATCGTTTTTGGAGCTGTAAATGGATGGTGGGTTGATTTGATACCTGCCTTACCGCCCTGCCCTGGATCGCTATCGTTTGTGGGAGAGAATAGTGGGAAATCTGTGACCCAGAGAAACTCGTCACGGAATGGCTTACGAATGATGCCTTCCGAAATCAGAGCCGCGTGGAGATCGCGACGAAGGTTTCCTATCATCGTAAAACCTTCGCCCATAAAGGGTTGATCGGGCCTAGCTTGCAGTACTAGCAGATCTCCTCTCTGAGGATGTAGCAGGTCGACAATCGTTTCAGCGGCATCGTGTTCGAATGCTGAAAGCCCGTTCATTGGCTTGGAAGGATCGAAGATGAAGATGCCAGGAACTCCATGCGGGTTGTCTAGATACGCTGCATTAGACGGCTTGTCCAGGAAGGTGCTGATAAAGTGCCGAGTTTTCTCAGGGTTCGAAACCCTGACTTTCAACAAGTCAATCACAGGATCTTTGAGGGGGCTTAACTTGGACTTTAAGGTTGAGTCCAAAAAATCTTCTACTTGAAGAAGGTGAAATCCGATACGCGTATCTGGCTTGTCAGAGCCCCACAATGTCATAGCTCTGTCGTATGTAATTTGTGGAAAGTAGAGAGGAGCATGATAGGGAATATCTCGCATATTGTACTCTTTGGGCGTCTTGATCTTGTTCTCAAATATGGTCTGACTGAAGAACGTTTGCCATAGTACTTGAATGATTCTCTCGGTGATCTTCATGACATCGTCCGTAGATGCGAAGGACATTTCGATATCGAGCTAGTAAATAATCCATTAACGTCCATCCAAGAGATGGAGGACCTACGACATACCTGCGTGAATTCTGGCTGCCGGTCCGCTCTCATGTCTTCGTCCCGGAAACATCTTGCAAATTGGAAATACTTGGAGATTCCGCTGGCCATTAGAATTTGCTTGTATTGTTGAGGACTTTGTGGGAGGGCATAAGCTAGTCCCCTTTGTCTGGTGGGAACCAGAAATTCACGGGCACCCTCGGGAGTCGATTTGAAGAGAATGGGCGTTTCTATTTCGTCGAAACCTTTCACGAAAAGGTATTTCCGGCATTCCGTCTGTGCTTTTGAACGAGCTTGTAATGTTTTGCGTAGGTTTGAGCTTGTGCGAAGCTGCAAATGTCGCTGCTCAGGTGGGAAATTGGTATCCGTTTTGGCAATAATGTCCGCTGGGAAATAATTCAATGCTTGAATCGAACTAACAACCATTTCGATCTGCGATATGGTTGCTACCTCACCGATATAGGGGTCGTATTTGATCTCCTCTATCGAAGAGAGTGGCTTATCTTTCGTAGCGTCACCCTCTTCTTTACGCTTCGTATAGTATACAATGTTTGGCCCCTCTAAACCTAAGGAAGCTTGGTCTTGCCCCTCTGTTTCGACAGGCCTCATAGTGCTTTTATTGCTGATTCGGTTTACCAACTGTCCAGATACAATGACGGGAGTGTGGGCAGGGATTCTTCGCATGCTTTCACGACCCTCAAGGCCCACCACATGTTCATCGACGACGAGTTGTAAGTGTTTTCTTAATTGAGGATCGATGAGGTCTATGAAATCCAATTTCCTCGAACCTTGCCGGACGGAAGTGACGTAGCCATACAGTTTCGAGGTGTGATCTGGCCGAAGGTCCCATACTTCCCAACTGGAAGCCGTTCTTGGTAATTTGACTGGATGCCATCAGTATTGAGCATCTACTCCCACTTCAATGAAGCTTACAGATGCGTTTGTAGTGCGCAAGAGGACTGTGGTCATTTAGGTCGAGCGTCGACAGGTCTTGGTAACTGCCTTCTAACGGACGGTCATCCTGTGAGGTCTCCCCAGATCTCCCTCGGAGCTCAGCATTTCGTGATGCCACCTGACATGAAAAACCTCTTCTTGACTTGGGGACTGAGTGGCTGCATCGTCCCCGAATATATTTTGATATAGCAATGTAACTGTCCCTCAATTGGAAGGCCCGGTTGAAGGCTCGAGTAGGAAACATTGCTAGCTCGAATCAGATGCTGAGAAGATCATGGACAGTATGAACGCCATGCAAGAAAGCTAGAGCTATGGAGAAGAGCGGGACTCTATCTTGTTGATGCAGTCGAGAAAAAAATGTCCAAATAGCTGCAGGATCTTGCTCAACTTTCAATGAAGCTCGCGAAACCAAAAACCGCGCTAGTGAAATGCATCCTCCGAAAATATATCCGCACTCTTCGGTCTACTTTTTCCTTCTCCATCCTTCCAAGTTTTGAACATGTAAGCCACTACCTCAGATAAGGATAAGATATTCTACTGACATTAGGACAGATGATGAAAGCCTAGCGTGTATTAGTTGAACTCATCTCCTCACCCTTGACCTTCAAGCTCTCTCCCTCTAGGAGCTCAAGTGGCTTGTTGGTTCGAGGGTGAATGAGAGAATGAAAAAGGCGCTCGGCACACCAATCTTGTTACATTGACGGGCGCGATGAAGGCATCTCTGAACTACAAATAAAACTTGGAAGATGTTTGGCAGGATCATATGGTGTGAAAGGGTGGAGGCTCACTCAGGACCGAGGCGAGGGTCAACAAATAGTTGCTGGGGTTTTTGGTCTCTGCCACAACGATTTTGACTCTCTCAAAGTACCACTTTGCAACGATTCATGATCGTTATCAAGTTGTCATTGATAACAGTGATCAGGTTTGGTGGTCAGATAGCTACCAACTGGGTACCATGTACCTTCAAAAAATGGTTCTTGGAGTATAGTGACGCTGAAGCAGAATCATCCCACCTGGGACCAACATGTTGACACTCGTCTTGGGCGTGCTTGAGGTAGCATATTTACATATTTACAAAGGGCAGAGAAGGGTCATTTTCTCGCTGCACCTGATGATGCAAATCGTCGGTCACCTGTCGCAGCAAGCCAGGGTTTCTGCTGAATAATACTTGCGGTGGCTACCATGAGCTACCTTTTGGAAATCACCCCTTCTATCTATCCCCTTCTCCTTGTGCTACTCGCAACGCCTTTCTTCACATCCGCCCCAGTCCCTTGGCCAACAGCTTGAGGTACTTTCTCACTGACCTCCTCCCCATGTTTGGCCGTCGTACCTTTCTCATTCCAATAGTAGACCATCTGTCCCGCCAGGACAGCATTCAACACAAAACCGGCCACAAATCCATACAAGATCAATTTATCGTCCACCTCCTGCAGCGTCGTGAAGATGCGACTCAAGCTCCCGGCCAAATAATTGAACACCGCAAATGCGCTGAGCTGGCCCGTTCCCCCTTGCCTGTAAACCGTCAAGATCTGTGGCAGCTTGCTCGCCACGCTCAGAGCCCCCGCCCCAGCCTGTAGATAATTCATCAGATTCTCATTCACCAACGTATCCGAGACCAGTAGCGCATAGACCGCAGCCGCAACACCCGCAATAAACGTCCCTGCAGCACCATCCCTACACGTGAAACGCAACACCAATACCGCAATCACCACATCCTGCGCCAGTATCAACGCCGTCTCTCCATACGTGCTGAACGGCCACCCGCTCCTGACATTATATGCCAACGTGATAAGGAAGCTAGCGGTCTCGAGAAGGTAGCTGGTGAAGCTCAAGCCGGCAGCGGATTGTGATTGCACGAGTTTCAGGATCTGGGGCACTTTGACGATGGAAGCGGTGGTGATGATGACGATGCCGAGCGCTTTGGAGATGGCGAGGCCGAGGCATTCCGGGCGTGTTGTTATGTCTAGCTTGTGGAAGAGGGCGTCGTGACAGGTTCGACCGATGAGGGATATCAGGGTATCGGATATCGGTTTGGGGAGATTGTTGGATATGGGAAGGAGATAGGGTTTTAGAGGGTTGAGGACCAGGGATTGTATCTGTTCCATGGTGAAAGTAGAGCGGGTTTTTTAGCGAATAAGAAGAGATGCACAAGGCTGCTTTAGGGTCATATATGACTACTCAGAAGCTTTCACTGATATTGTTCGTGTAGTGTGTTGATTAGGCAGCTCGTCAACGCGCTGGTAGTACTTCATCAAATTAAGTTGCTGTCACTTGGCACCACTATTAGCTAGCTATATGTGTTGACAGTTGTGCGGAGTTGCTGGCGCCGCGCCATGATGCCGAGTTTCTTCTGATTCTAGTGGTGTAGATAATAGTAATACGGGTCTTAATTGATAAAGATGACTCTCTACATAAACAAATCAACTTTCTTAGAATGAATCTGATATATCTCAAATCTATATCAAAAAAATCAGAAGGATCTACTCTTTCGATAGTGGATCGAAAGAAGCGATCTCAGTCTCTGCGCAATTGACAGGAACACTAGCCAACCCGGTGGAAATGAGAGCGTTGACGAAGTACGGAATAGGTGCGGCTCGATACATCCATATCCAGAAGCGAGGTAGGGCGCCCGGGCTGACAAGTACACTGTTATTGGTCAGTGTGGGGAGCATCTTCAATACCCAATAGGCTAGATATGACCCTCACCCTGGGAATAGTAATGAAAGCATATACAGCAGCATCGCGACATTGACGCCCGTCGCGGCGTTAGGCATAATGGTCATTACCGTGCAAGAGAGAGTGGAGCAGAAGGCCATAATAGACCAGATCAACAAGAAGGTCAAGCCACAGCGACTGTGCAACTGGTCCGTAACCAAAGTATTCTGATACAGTCCAAGCGGATAGTACCAAACGACAAAGACTAGAATCGCCATCACCGTTTGCGAAGGTATCTAGGCGATAATGTTAGGGAGGGTGAAAACAACCCAGGAGGAGATTTGCGATGACAGCCCGCGTACTTCGTACAATATCCGACTTCCCGCAAAGAGCAACATGATAAGCTAGACCAGGGTTGAAAAAATAGTCATTAGGATGAAGAGGGAGAGGATCTGGTTCTGTATCCCTTGAAGGGTAGTTTCCACTTTCTAGAAAGCGATGCCTTTAACCAACGCCCGCGCGTCATTGGTCAATAAGTCTATGCGAAATCAAAGGATATATGAGAGAGAGGATTGGAAGAGTCTACCATTCCCAGTGTAGAAAGAGTCTTTGTCCATAGATAAGAATGTGGTCGTCAGTCATGCTGAAATTTTCTCTTGGTAGGTAACCATATAGTTGATAGAACGTAGGTGTGGCATTTTTTCTACCGGTCAGATTTCGCTGTATCAACTGTCGCTTGTGAGAGCTTGTTCTTTATCTCCGTGATATCGGTCTTGATTTTGGCCCTTTCAAATGGACGTTTTCCATACGTCCGCGAAGCCAAAGTTGTCTGTCGAGTCAGGGCCATTGTCTCAGCACTCAGTCTCAACACTATTCCACATTTGGCGAAAATGCCAAATGTGGTCCTCGCAAATGAGTCTGAGGGCTTAATACGTTTTTTCGCTATGAAAAATATTCGGATGTGTAATTGATTTAATCCCTTCTTCTTAAAAACCACAATGTTGGTCACAAATTCATCAAAACAATGGAGAAATTTAGAAATGTAGTATCATTTGATAGAGAATTCCAAGACCTATCTCTACATAATCCTACTTTAAGTTCCAAGACCTATTTGACCTTGCAAGAGCTCAAAAACACGCGAGTTTTCTCAGTGAATGGTGGTGATATGAACCAATGACTTGTACTGAGAATCAGCGAATGTTTCCAATGCCCTGTATTTAGCATTCCGCGTTCAGACTGCTTTACGAAGAACAAAAACTTACGCGTTTGAACTAGCCTATTGTGCGTCAGCCGGTGGTGAAGCAGGAAGTGTCCGAAGATTTTGAGACAATCAGGAGCATCACCAGTGATGGTCAGTTGCCACTCGGCGGTTTTCGTTCGGGGTCACACCTCAGGGCTCTATTGCGCTCAAAGTACGCTGTTAGCGTCTCTACGCGGTGTCCCGTATCCCCAAAGTATAACGACCTTCCCTTTGACAGGAACAGGAGTCTGTCGAACATCTCTTAGTAAGACCCCGGAAGCTTGATGAATAGTGCAAAGGATGGCTTGACCATTGTCTGCTAGTTTGCGAAGCAATTGCAGATCGACCAAGCAGAGTCGCTATCCAGACCAGATATTGGTTCATCCAGGAAAGAAGCAGCTCGGGCCTTGCCGCCAGTTCGATGGCAATTGTCACTCACTTTCACTGCTAAACATTAAGGCCTATCATTATTGGCCAGAATCACCCCCCTCTTATACACGGGCAGTCTCCCACAAGCATCAGGCAACTTGCCACAACGGAAGAGCAATACTTCCCCGCGAGACCAGCACATTGAAATGTACGACTCGGTAGCTAGCAGATACAGACTACAATAAAGGCCATCGGAGCAAAGATAATGCCCAGATTCCTAGAAGTGTTAGGAGTCTTGATGGAAACTTGGGACTACCTGATTGAGCTCCAACTACTCTGCACATCCACTCCAGAGGATCCACGCTGCAGTACTCTAGCCCTTGAGGAATGAATGATGAGCACGGAATTGGCGCCCGGAGAACTAAAGAAAGTAATTTCAGTAGGGTAGGATATGTAGCCAAGCGAAGACTGTTACAAATCTCGTTGACCAATAGGCTTTCAAAAGCATACACTGTTGGAGGACGTTGTAAAATCATCCCAGCCATAGGCGCATACAAGGGACGGGAATGACAAAGCCAGTATAGATTAACAACAGCATACCACATACTGCACCAGGCGCTATCGAGTCTGTTGACGCTCTGGAAATGGAACTGATGCTCCGGTAGATCATCGATCTAGTCAAAGGAATTAAGAACGCAAGCAAGCTAAAATTGAAGAAGCCAGGTGTCCGCCAAGAATTTTCGATAAAGTAAAAAGGGGGTGTCAGATGTTAGTATGAGGACAACCCTAGTTGGAAGATAAGAAATCATAGAGACAACCGCCTCTGCCACATGACAATGGGACACGTATAGGATTACAGAGCACTATGAAGAGGATTAGTGCTACCCTGGAGAAGTAGCTACTGGTATCGGCGGGCAAGTTGTGGAACATACTGCCTGGTATGATCGATGTGATGATGTTACGCAAATTTTGGAAGCTTCGGACCAGACATAAACGTGTCAGAATCCCTGCGTATATGATACGTATATCTGTTACGTATTAGCATGATGGTACAAGGGTCCCCGCATGCAAAACGCACAAAACACTCTTGTAACTGTTACGCCCTGTTATTTATGGCAGAGCATTGCTATCCCCTCCGTACCTGGACAGGGGTGTAGAATGCCTCAATTAGCGCTGTCGATCATCTTTATTTGACATTGCCACAACTTCTGCCCAAGCATCTCGCTAGAGTACAGTTTTGGAGGAGGAATTCTCTGAAGCCAGCGTTTTATAGATCTTACATAATTATTTATTTCTTCTTTGTGAAGATCGAATTCTGATTGAAAGAGTTCTGTGAACAACTTTGTTTGAGCTTAAAATCTGTCAAAGACGCTAATTGAGGCATCAGGTACGGAGGGGATACACGAATTGAACGCCAAATGCTGTTTCTGAGCTGTTACAGTATGCGCTTCTATAGCTATTAGTATGAGCAAATGCTCCTCTTGATAGGAGTAACTCAATCAAGTGAATTGGCACCTCCGTACGCTGTTTGCTACTACTTCTAACAAAACGAACCGGGTTTGGAAGCAAAATCATGTAGGGGAACTGGCCACTTTTCAATACCCGGTAGCAGATGCAGAGGATCCGAACTCCTTAGAACTTGCCGAGATGACATCTTTTGAGCTTTTTGGGATGAACGAAATACGTCCAAACGTTCTCCTCCAACATTAAAATCCACCTCGTATTGGTCTATCTTTTTGGAGCTTTACGTATTCAAGAGATTTCTTCCATACCTCCACAAATTGATCTGTGTTTCGTGGAGCTTGAAGCTCGTACGCTCTAAGTACTGTGCGTCTTCTTTTTAAATCTGTCACTGATGTGAGAAAATCTGCCGTGGTAGAACGTTTTGATCTGGGCAGACAAAGCCAAGTGCTATGAAATAACTTTTCGCAGCACTGACGGGCCCGAAGATGATTTGCCGTCCATCGTAAAGTAGTAGTACTTTATAAAGCACTGTGACCATACATGTGAGCTGAATGACTAGGTCGCATGAAGGCGAATGTGAGAGATGGTGTCTTACACTGTAGATATCGTCTGACGCTTGATATAGTCTCACTAATGCTGCAGACCCGTCATCTCTTATTTGACGTGAAAGAGTTATCACGAATTCTAATGCATTCGCAGTCAAGACCTTGGATGCCGTTGTCCCAGCACCGAAAGGAGCTGTCACCGAAAAGGATTTCCTAGATTACTTTCAGAAATCTGAACCTTCCCAATACAGTAACAACCTTGGCATACGGCAATGCTAGCTCCTTTGCGCTCACCTCCACCAATGCTCTGGATGAAATCATTTCCCATTTGTGTATCAAGTGCCTTGGACGTAACCTCGAGAACCCGTTCTGGATATGTCTTCCGGCTGGCACCTGACAATTTATGAGCATCCTTAGGAGCCCTCGCTTGTGCGACGAAATGTAAACTTTGCCTGATAAAGAGTGAGAAGCGGAAAGTGGATGTCAGTCTCCGATTGATAAACACATTGGCCATGAATGAAAATCATGGTATATCTTGTTAGAATGAAGACCTGCTCCATTAGACGTTTCTGGTTCTTGACACATAGCACGCCATAATCATATCATGATAAATCAGTCTCGAGTAGTCGACACAAACGTGCATCCATTTAGCCAGCCATGGACTTGAGCAAGGTCGAGCATCCACTTCGGGTCCGCCAAGCAAGAATCAATTCCCCATTATTAATGAGCCGATCAACGTCTTGATGGCCAACTCCCATCCGGGTATCCATCAAATCAAATGAACCAAATTTAGCGCCGATTTGGTTCATTTGATTCATTTGTCAAACGAGTC